AGTGTGGGATTCTTTTTTCAGGAAAGCTGATTCTTTTAGGATAATATTTTATCAACCTGGCACCAAATGATCCTAAATTATATGAGAATTATGGTCAAATTGCATAAAGAAATGTTAAATGAAACTGCTAGCTGCTCCCAGACAAACACTTGTCTTCCACATACATTATACTCCTTCACTTGTTTTTATCTTTAAAGTACTGTACAGTATACAGTTTTTTCTTTGTTCATAAGACAAATTCTGTGGTTACTTATAAATAACACTTTACAGTAAATAACAAACATCTCAGTGACAACAGTTGTTGACAACCAGACTTATATGTCTGATTTTCAACCCAGAGAGTTGTTTCATATAATTTTTTATTGATGTAATATTCTTTTAATAACCTTGTTATACATAAGACCTTAGTTGTTGAAGAGCAGTAATAACATGACATCGACTGATTTTCTTTTAAACAATTCAGATATGGCAAAGTTATCTGCACCCCCCCCCCCCTTTGTTTGCAATTAGTATGATTTATCGAGGTTATATATATATATATATATATATATATATATATATATATATATATATATATATATATATATATATATATATATATATACTAAATTCCAGTAATAAGATCGAGATTCTAAATATTTTATTTGATGATTTCATGAAAGGTGCATACTGAAATGTAAACACACGCTTGCCACATGCCTGATTCACGTCAATAAATTTTTTAACATTTATATCATAAAATCCACTAAGACCTAGGATTTTTAACGTAAGAAAAAGGTTATTTTTATCCTTGGGGAAGTGATATTGATCTATGACAACCATGACCCAAAATAAACTGATACAGAAGGGAACGATAAATGCTACGCAGGCTCATTTCTTTATCAAGTACAAGGGTAATATTAGTGACTGAATAGAGAACAATATTAAGACAGGCTTGTAGCCAAAGCATGCACATGCAGCAAGCACACCTTAGCCAGCATCATACAATTTTCCTTGAATGACTTAGTTTGACTGCTTTCCTTTTGAAATGTGTTCAGTTTACAGTCATGATAGCTGGAAGGGCAGCAAAGGAACTGCATGTCATTGACACTAATATTTGCACCATTCTGACTAAAATTCCTGGCTACAACCCTGTACAACTTTTTTAAACTAATATTAATCAGTGTGCCCAGAGAATTCTTAGTGACATTGTCATATTATTTTGTTATGCTCACTGTGACCTTAACTTGGATCCAATTTTAATTGTGATTAGTGTATTTTCTCCCATGAATCCAAAAATTTAATGGAGACTGGTACATAAGGTTTTAAAATATTTTGTATAATACTGTACATATTGCCATATACATAAGGTTTTAAAATATTTTGTATAATACTGTACATATTGCCATATACAGTTACTGTTCTTCATAAGTCCTAACCAGTCTCAGTGGCTTCTTTACTTTTAGCATCACTAAAATTGATGTAATATGGTAAACGAGAAACTTGGCTAAGACAAGATGCCAAGGCTTAGTCATCATCAAGCAGACAAAACAAAACAAAACAAAACAACCTTGAGCTGCAGCTCTAAAATACTTTTCTAACAATGATGGGACTTGTCCAAATGATTACTCTAGTCTGATTCTTCTCATTAATGCAATGATCAATACAAATTTTTTATTCTAACTATTAAAACCTGCTAATACCTTTTCTCAATATCATGGATGGCATCTTTATGCCATTAGGGTTTGCTAAATCAGAACCTTAACATGAAAATGACTAGCTCTAAACATACCACAGAAAAGAACACTGCCCTTCCACTACTGCATATTTGCACATTTCATAGTTTGTGGCATCTGCCTGTTAAAAACAGATGTTAGGCAGGAGCCCAGGGCATTAAATAGGGTACACTTAAACAACTGCACTACTTAACATAACTGCTTTACAAACATATGAGAAATGCCAATCCAGTGTCATTAATCAGTTACCCTGTCCTTATTCCAGAAGCATTGCATGCCTCAATAATTCATTTAAAATACACTTAAAATATTGGCATCACATTGTCACAGTAAAAATCTGACACTACTTGAAAATACATATTGTATAAAAGTGTTTGCACTTCTATTAAAATATGCATGGAACCATTGCTATGGAGACATTTTTACATATACTACAGTAATATCTCCGTTAACCGGAATTCCCCAAACCTGGAACTCTCCGATAGCCGGAATTAAAATTTTCTCAAAAAATCATTCCCAAAGCAAGAATTTTCCAGAATAATCCAGGTTTGGGAATGATTTTCCAAGGGGTACATTTTCTTGAAAAATTTCCCAATTCCCAAAAAATTTCGGCGATGAGGGAGTTTTTTCCAGGTTTGAGAGATGAAAATTAGATGCATTTTCCGGGAAAAAAATAAAATAAATAAATGAATCCGGTACCCAGAAAATTCCGGGCAGGGGGATATTTTTCCAGGTTCCAGAGATGATGTAATGGGTAATTTCTGAAACTTCAAAGAACTTTTTCAGTTACCCTTAAAATTTTGGGGATGAGGGACTTTTTTCCAGCTTTGAGAGAGTCGTCTCATTACCTGGAAATCTCTCATTCCCGGAATTGCTCTGCACCAATTGTTCCGGCTAATGGAGATATCACTACACACCAATCATTAGAAAAGTAGCATAGTTTCATTGATTTGCATAATACTGTATGCAAAAGTTATAAAAGAAATTCCTGAATATTTGTATTACGTATTCTTTTCATTTGAATTCTTTTAACAAGTTACATATCTTACACATTATACCTGCACATAAAAAAAAAAAAAAAAGTGTACAAACTATCAAGACGATAAATTATGTCTATCCAGTACATACCCAGTACCGTAACATATTCTCAAAAAAATAAAATTATCAAAATTCATTTTCTCTAAAGACATTTTGGTTATACAATTAGATTTTGTACACTTTGTGCAAATTTTATCTTCTACCTCTATATACCCCCGAATCTATATAATGTACAGGCAATCCTCAATTTCTGAACACCTGCTCACATGACACTTATGACCATATTCCATCAGTTAAACACAGGAATTCAGACACTTGAATGCATCCACTGGACCTAAAGTAGTGTGTTTTATGTAATAAGTTAACTCTTTAATAATTTTAATATTTAATTTTACTAGTACAGTACTGTACTGCATTATTATTATTTACAATATTAACTTATTCATAAATATTTTCATTCAACAAGTGTGGTTTTCACTTGTCTGTGGACTAATTAATGATTTATATCAATGTTTTAATGGGATGTATTGATCTGGTTTACAAACATATTTTCAGGAACACACAGTCATAAAAATAAAAATAAATATATATATATATATATATATATATATATATATATATATATATATATATATATATATATATATATATATATATATATATATATATATATATATATATTATATATATATATATATTATATTATATATATATTACATATATATTTATATTATATTACATATATATATATATTATATATATATATATTATATTATATATATATATATATATATATATATATATATATATATATATATATATATATATATATATATATATATATATATATATACAGTGGTACCCCACTTAACGCGGTCAATTGAACCCAGAGGGTCCCGCGTTAAGTGAAAACCGCGTTAAGTGAATAACAGAACATATGGGATTAATTCCAATAGAACCCAGCCCGACCCCCAAACTCCACTTTTTGACGACAAATAACTATGTTGTAGTAAAAATAACATCTTAATTTTATGATGGTACATGCACACAATTAATACTTAAGAGAAATACAGTCGCCAAGTTAATGTCCATTCAAATAATGGACTCAACTCCCTCCCCCTCTCACACTACAGTACACAGCCAGCTAACAGATGGTCGGTCGGTCCCTCCCTCCCCCCCCCCACCCCCCACCAACCGTCCCAAGGAGATGTGTGGGATAACCTCAAACTAAAGTTAGGAAAATATAATTGACATTGCTGGATTCCTTGTAAGACCAGGAATATTTTGAATATAAATGTCATATATTTTTCACAAAAGATAACATACTTACTCAGATTAAACATTTTATCTAAAAATTGTATGTTTAATGCAAAAAATATGTTGTTTATATTCAAAATGATCACCAAATTATAAGAATTCCAGCAATGTAAATTATATTCTGACCGGGTAATTTGTATGAATTTTATGAGCTAAAACAAATATCTTCAGTTAAAAAAAAATAATTCTTCACCGGGTAACAGATGGTCGGTCGGTTGGTCCCTCCCTCCCCCCCACCCCCCACCAACCGTCCCAAGGAGATGTGTGGGATAACCACTAAATTTTAATAAATAATACCTCAAACTAAAGTTAGGATAATATAATTGACATTGCTGGATTCCTTGTAAGACCAGGAATATTTTGAATATAAATGTCATATATTTTGGACAAAAGATAACATACTTACTCAGATTAAACATTTTATCTAAAAATTGTATGTTTAATGCAAAAAATATGTTGTTTATATTCAAAATGATCACCAAATTATAAGAATTCCAGCAATGTAAACTATATTCTGGCTGGGTAATTTGTATGAATTTTATGAGCTAAAACAGGCAGTCAGGCAGGGTGGCGGGTGGGGGGTGGTGCGAATCTAAAAATAGCTCTCGAGCCGGACACTCACCGCGTTGCTGTGGAAAAATCCGCGTTAAGTGAAAGTTCAGCTTTGGCAAGGCACCGCGTATATGCGAAAACGCGTTAAGTGAAAGCGCGTTAAGCGGGGTATACTATATATATATATATATATTACATATATATATATATATATATATTATATTATATATATATATATTTATATTACATATATATATATTATATTATATATATATATATATATTACATATATATATATTATATATATATATATATTATATATACATATATATATATATATATATATATATTATATTATATATATATATTAATTTCGTGATAACAGTATCCAAAGGTACTTGGATTAAATTATCAATTACAAATCTTTTGGCTATTACCTGTTTAATGTTCCAAAAGGATTGATCATAAATACACTGTACCATAATCATCCCAATCTGTTTGTGTGTTATTGGGGAGTTTATCTAGTGTTACTGTTCTGTAGTTTACCATGTCAGTTCCTCGCCCAACTCAGATATTTGGACCTCCCCCCTCCATCCAATTTCAGCATGCACCCCAGTTAATATATTATAATCTCTTCTTTAAGAAAAAAAAAGGACAATAAAAACCTAATAGACTTTTAAATTAAACAAGCAAGACATATGTGGTACAAAAACCTTAAAATACAGCAAAACCTCTTCAATTCTGCAAATGTAAATGGGGTTTTAAAACGACTAAATTGTTAAATTGTTCTAATGGTAATCAGTTAACATTCTTCTCAAGTGTAAATTAATTTTGCTTCAATCTGCAAAATGTTAAGTGTAAACAGAAACAGAGGAGACTGAAAAGTAATGAGGATATTTAAGGAAGATTCCTAGGCTGATTTCCATTTTCAGTTAATTTGCTTAAAATGACACAATGACACAAATTCATAACCCAGGCTTTAAATAAACTTCTGACATGCTGCCATTGAGAGCACGGAAAAAAAAAAATAATCATCTGTTAAATTTAAAGAGGACCTCTCATTTCTCACTCAAACCTCCTCAAATCAAATTTAGTAAACATGAGCCAATGAGATGAATATTTAATGATGGTGATAACGTGGTGGAAGAACCACTAAACACATTTTTGTTGTGGTGCTATGGTTAGTATTAATTCATGAAAAACATTGTTAATCTTGTACAGCCAGAGAAAAAACTTGTGTTAAATCCCCTTCGCATTATGTTCCGAAACCCATAAAGAAGAACTTGGGTAAAGTGACAGCGAAGCTTCAAGGTTCGAATCTGAACGGGGAACTTTACCAAAAATTTTTGTCGTGGATTTCAGAACATAAGGCACAGTAAGTGTAATATGATGTTTTTATTTGACTGTACAGTCACTCAAAAAACTATTTATACGGAAATTTTTTGAAAAAAATATGACAGGACAGACAAAGGATTTTGACAACCCTACCGAGACAATAGGAGTTCCTTCATTGATTCCCCAAATAAGAGTTTTTTGAGTGACTGTACACTCTGTAAAAAAAGTACTGTATCTTTACAATTCTTGTGCGTAACAAAATGACACCATGAATGAAGGTTTTTGATAAAGGCTCATGAGGCATACTGTTTTTCACCAATCATAATGCAACAAACTAATTTTATATTTTGAATGAAATGACCATAATAGGTAGGAAATGTCTTACAATCATGCCTACCAACCCTAGCGAGACAATGGGATTGTTTAGTTCCAAATTCATCAGACCCCTCCTGAAAGATATGTTTTTTTTTACCAAGTGTACATACTATACTGTAGTCCATTGCACTAAATATCCACCATGTCCCAGAAAGTTATTTGGGGACCTTGTAGATGAGGAGTACCATAGCAGAAAATATCTACAGTACGGTATTACAGCAGGAAGGAGGAGTGAATGAGAGCAAGTACAGTAATGAGAGAATATATAGTATGTGCATTTGGTCGATTCCAGCCATCTTCCATTATTATAGGAAAAGACAAAAGAGTAGGGGGATGAAATATAAACTAAGCTGGGATTTAAACATGCTTTGATTATCAAAAGCAGTTACTTTGTATAAATATTATAAAGCAATAATTTGAGTGAACTAATTAAAAAAAAATTAACAAATAGTTTTCAATTGCAGAAGCATGAACTTTTCTGCAACACAAACTTAAATATACTGTATAATTTTCTGTCACCCACAATGTACAAAACAGGAACTTCTACAGTACATGCCCCTTATCTCACATAGGGGTTTTGTTGCGTGCCAGGACCTAGCTACTCTCACATCCTGACTTCCTTTATCTGCACACATGCATTAGTTTGTTACTGCAAATGTGAAATGAATAACACCAACAAAAATGCATTGTGACTACTGTCCCAAAATGTGCATTACGTACAGTGCTGTGGATTTGGCCCACAGATAAGTCACAAGTTCCCATTACCAGTACTTATAAACTTCTTTATAAAACTCATCACAATAATGCTGAAATTTTACATGGAGTATTTTATAAGAGACAAAACAACAAAGGAGTAAAACCAATAAATACATTCGGAAGATCTATTGGCTATTTTCAGTTTCATACAATTTGCCTCCGCAATGCTGTGCTGATAACAGTTACTGTTGCATATTCTTATGTCAGGTTATCATAAGAGTTCAACATCTTGCTATTAATGCAACCATTTTAAGGTCATCATAAGTAATATCCCTGTTAGCTGGAACAATTAGTGCAGGGCTGTTCTGGGGATGAGAGGTTTCCGGGTTGGATGTGTAGTTTAGAGTCGAGAAGAGATGAGTAGTTTAGACTCAGAAGACTTTCCCCCACACCCAGAAACATTCTAGGGATGTGGGATTTTTTCCAAGTTTGAGAAAGTCAAAGTGTAGAAAATAACCACATCACAGAACTTTTCCGGATAATGGGAAAAGTTTCTGTAAGTCTAAACTACGCATCTCGCACGGACAGACACCATCCCACATCCCCGGAATGTTTCTGAGTGCTGGGGAAAGTTTTCCCGAGTCTAGACTACTCTTCTCATCTTGCACAGACAAACACTCCCCCATTATATTTCGACTGTGGGCACGTGCAAATATATTTACGGCTCGTAAAGAGTGTACCATATAAACTTTTATTCACAGCATCTATTCTAATTGTGTTAGTGAGATGAATTTGGTACCTTAATGATCCTGAATAGCTTTTCTACAAGATTGTTCCAATAAAAGACCCTCAAACAAAATATTGACACAATATAGTAATGGGGAATCGATTCTTTAAAAAAATTTTTAAGAAATGTTGATACCAGTCTATAAAAGCAGTTCCAATTAAGTTAGAAGCAATATCTTTTAACAAAATAATCCTGAACAGTTTATATAAAAATTTGGTTAAATAAATATATTTAAAAAATAACAATCTATATAATACTGGCATTCAAGGAGTGAATGGAGTTGTATGTCACATCCAAGACAACAGAATTTTCCACTCTGCAGTGGTCTAAAGAACACATCTCGCACTGAGCTGTATTTATTTATGCAAACACCATGGTACACGTACAATATATTGTAAATAACTGTAAACAAAATAATGTATACTATTACAATACTGTATACTGTATACTGTACTCCCCAGCAGATGTTGTCTTTAGCCAAGAGTAGGCAGAAACTGTCCACTCTGCTTAATGTAATATGGAACTGTAATCACTTTTACGTATTAACACTTGAGGTAGGGTGGGGGATTGGTGGGTCTATGTTACTGACATAACCTGATGCAATGTCAGGTCACCCATCCTATATAAACTTTTCTCTCATTTGCAGTGGGGGTGGGGGATTAGTGGTCTCATATTACTGACCTTCTGATGCAATGTCAAATCACCCTTTGACCCACTGTTGGGGTGAGGGATTAGTGGGTCTCATTTCCTGAATGTGCCTTAAATAAAGATGAAAGCTAAGGTGCTCCAGAGTTTCCCATTTACTGAATGTACAGCATAGTATATGTAACATATAACTTTTTACATCTTAATGTCTTAACACTGCTTTAACACTTTATTCTCGCTAATTGTGTCCTGGTACAGTAATGTACAATACCGTACAACACAAATTGTATGCAAAAACAGCAGCTAGTGATGGAACAACCTTCTACAATGGCAAAAGGATATGAACTATGCAATCCAAGCAGCTTGGCCACCCACATGCCTGGCACATGGGGATGCGCTGGAGCATGATGCAATCTCTTGGAGCTCCTGGAAAATGTATTCTTAGGCCCAGAATGGCGAGGATTAGACAGATTTACCCAAAAATTTTCCAAAAATTGCACCTAATTTTCATCCTCAGAAACTCATTTATAGATCCAGAATGGAGAGAGTTTTCCCGGATTTTTTTTCCAGCTCAATTTCCATTCCGACTACTGAAAAGTTCTGGTGATCGGGGATTCCAGCTAACGGGGAGATTACTGATAAATCTATTTTTCACATATTAAGAATTAAAAATGAACTTGGTTGAATTAAAGAGGTTTTACTACATTCCTAAAAAGGAACAAATTAAAAACATGGCTAGGACTTAAAGTCACTATAACTCTAAAATCACATGCATTCCTATGTTGCAACTAGGATTAAATCTTCACAACAGTCGCCTCACAAAAAAATTTACTGGATAATTCAACAATCATCATATTAAATACATAAATTTTTTATCGGATTGATTGAGTTTATAATCATAGTAAGCTACCATTTTTGCTTACTTAAAAATCTGGAGAAAAAAATCACCACCATCTTCATGTTATACCCAGTGGCACTGCATTGAAAGCCCTGAGGGAAACAATATTTAGTGCTCTGCTTTGTCACTCTCATCACTGAATCCTTCTGCTCCCATTGCACTGGAACCTGGGCTTCCTGGTTCTTCACTGGTCTCCGTTCTAGACACTGAAAAAATGGGGGAAAAGTTATCTTCTACTCAGCTTGTTTTTTTAAGCTTTTAACTTAATTCGGTGACTGACCTAAGCTGTTGCATCGCCAGGGATGTAATTACCACAATTGATCAATTAATCAACCAATCTTATTTTTTACAATACTGTCATAAAAAAATGTATACAGTACCTATAATGCCTCACCTTGTTTACGAAAAAGACCTCCTTTACCACGCACAGTATTATACGACCCACACTGCAAACACTTGTGGCCTAAAACGTGGAACATCGTCAAGGACTCCTATGGGAAAATAATTTTTTTTAGCTAAATAGTCCAGGATTTACTATTCACAATCTGTATACAGTAATATTCCCATTAGCTGGAACAATTAATGAAGCGCATTTCCGAATTTGAGAGATTTTTGGGTATTGAGACAAATTCTCTTATCCCCAAAAAATCACATATCTAGAGAATTTTTCCAGCCATTGGTGAATGTTTGTGCAACTAAACTACACATCTGTCATGGAGCACCTTTGCTACAGAAGCTTAACTGTGGTCAAACAGACACTGCAGTATTTATGCATGCAAATACTACTGTACACGTACAGTACGTATATTGTAAATAAACAAAATATACTACTGTACTGAATACACTATACGTACTGTACTCACAGCAGATGGTATTGTCTTGATCTTGTGATGCAGGTAGGTCAAATGGTAATATGATGATACAGGATGGCCTACCTTTGTCCTGTACAGTAAGTTCTCCTAGAAACCGTTTTTTCATAGTGTGATTTGGTTATAACGTGATAAATGTATAAAGTATCAAATTTTTTATGTGGATGCAATTTAGTGTAAGTGATATCCCCATTAGCCAGAACAATTGGTGCAGAGCTCTTCCGGGATAAGAGACTTCCGAGTAACGAGACGACTCGAATCTAGAAAAAAAAAATATATATATATCCCAGATTTTTTCTGAATACTGGGAAAAGTTTCAGAAAATCTAAACTACACATCTCGCATGGACAGACACTATCCCAAATCCCCGGAATGTTTCTGGGTGCTGGGGAAAGTTTTCCTAGAACCTTTGAGTATAAAACTATGCATCTCATCTCGACTCTAAACTACTGTACGCATCTCATCCTCTTATTTCCCATGGACAAACTCTCTCCCATTACATAAAAGCTGCTGGCATGCATGAAAATATTTATGGCTAGTGAAAAAGTGTATAAACTTTATACAGAGCACCTGTTCTAATAGTGTTAAGAGCAGTGGTCTCCAACCTTTTATAGGTTCTGATTCACATTTGTTATCGTAAATATAGTGAGAATGCCAAAACTTTGGATATACATTTAGTGCATAAAAAAAAAAAAAAATTTACAGTTATTTACAGTTTTACATGTCAGTTACATACTTTTCACATTTACTCTTGGACAGGACGTGTGTATTTACCCCAGTGAGAAGAATGGCTCTCTCTCTGGGCCCAGTCTGGGATAAACACACGTCCTGTAAACCACAGACTCGGAACAAATGTGCATTTCCTCCCTTTCTCTCAAACTATAAAGTTGTATCAAGTAATTACATATTTTCATTAATTTCACCCTTACAAAGAATCCCAAATAATTCAAAATTTTCTAATAGCCCTTGTGGGTTCCATAATATGGTTCTCCGGGCACCATGCAGGTTGAGGAACACTGTAACGAATAAACAATATTTTGTTGAGTTACAGTAAGAATGGCCGAGGCAGGAGTGAGGGGTGAGAGATCAGTTTCTCTCACTAAGGGTCTCCAACCCTCCACCACCAGTCTATGTACAGATCTAAACAAATTTATTTGAAATACTCCATAACATTCAATGCCATAATATCCTGACCACTAGTACTCCTAATGGTCTGTCAGGCCTACAGGAACCAATGTCCTTTTTTTTCACTATAAACAATGTTGAAAGTATAAAGTGTACAACTGGCTCAGTTCCTGTTTAAGTACTGTAGAAACAATACACTGTTCACAACCTGACAGCCTCTGTCTGTCTAGTATTCAGTTGATACACAGTCACATTCAATATTCCACTTCATACCTTCAACACTCCATGACCACGTGAGGTCCCTCATATCAACACCCGAGGACGAGTTACTACACCATGTGAACACCTCACCACCTGGTGTCTCCATGACCAGCCCATGCCCAGGCCATCAACTGTAAACTATAATAATTTGTATGTTCAATCATTGTTCCTTCTTCTTTTAGTAATGAAAGCTTTTGTTAAACGACCCACCCACCCACCCCATGTCTTTGTATGTAATAAGTAATTTTTGTCTAATGTATATTTTCAGCCCTCAGGCTGCCGATTTTTTCAATAAACCGTTAATTATTATTATTATTACATCAAGACAATGACTCAAATTAAGTGTTTGTGACTTGATAATGGTGAAAAAAAAAATATGATACTTTCATGGATTGGCTTATGGCAGAAACTGAGCTCCTGAAGTCCACATTCATGTCTGCAAAATGAATCATAATGCTGATAAATATCCTCAGTAGGAAAGTAAAGGAGTAAAGCACACTAAATTACATTACTTCGCCTTCTACCTGAAAATTATCCTTAATGGGAAGCATACTACCATAAAACAATCTATACTAGCTGAGGACAGTTGAGTGAAATATTTTTGTTACCAGTAAAAGTATTATCATAACTATTGCTATTATCATAACATATGTTTAACTTTATTTCTACTATTTCTAAAGCCATAGCACTACAACAGTGATTGCAAACAGTACAGTCTGTATGTTAAGATAATTTATTTGTTACCATACACAATCAATACAGTACAGTACCTCATGGCAGTCCCGGCAGAGAACATTGCAGTATAGGTCAGCATATTCACTTGGCATCGGTGTATCTTCAATCTCCTCATCCAGTGATTTCCAAAGCTGAGACAAAGGATTGAATATGGTAAAAAAAATACATTTCTCTGGAAGTCTCAATCATAATAAATACATGTGCATTATACCCCATTAACTGACATCCCCTGAACCGCTGCTTCGCATAACCAATGATTATATATTATGGAAATACCCCTTAAGTTTTGCTAACTAGCCTGTTGATCCGATGATTGGAGGAGCAACAGGGTGCTTTTGAGTTTGGCACGCGGTGATGTTAATTCTTGCCAGGAGTATGAAAATTTGTATTTCGTGAATTATCATGACTCCACAGCGCAAATGTTCTTAATAGCTCTTTCTCTCTTCTCTTTTCTTTCTCTTATCTTCTTTATCTTCTTACTTTCTCTTTCTTCCCTTAATCTTCTTTCTCTTATCATCTTTCTCTCCTATTTCCTTCTTTATCTTTTCTTATCCTTTTTTCTCTTCTTTTACAGTATCTTTTTGTTCTCATTTCTTTCTTTTCTATTTTCTTCTTTCTCTTCTCTCTGACTTTGTATGTTATGCAATCATGCCTAAATGCCCCAGAGATACTTCCTCTTCTGTTTAATCCATAAACGATGGCTAACATTTTAAATAGAGTATTTATTGTCTTTAATGGGGATAGAGTGGTATAATCAGATTCTATATAGGCCTAATGAAAGCTAATAGGTACGAGATGACACTTGATGTGTTGGACTGGCCGTTGACATGATCACAAGATGGTTTATATTTATAAATTATTTTCCAATACTGTATTCTCGAATGATCACTCAAAGGTAGTAAAAAATGTACTTCATTTTGTTTTAGTATTTCTGGCGACCAAAGCACCCCAGAGTCCGAAAAAACAAAATCCGATACTTGCATATTGAAGTCCAATTTATCAAGGTTTTACTGTAGTGATTTGTCTAATTAGTTGAAAACACACTTATAGACACAGACAGACAGAGACACACTGATGGTCAGACAGACTGAAAGACATACAAACAGCCTGTGTGTCTGTCTGTAAGGCATGCAGCTATGACACAAAAAATATACGAGTTTTGTCTGATTGGTTGAAAAATCGAGCATAAATGTTGCAGTCGAAAAATAATCTATGTTTATGTAGCATATTGAGCTACTAATGGCCCATATGCCATGGTATATATGTGTGATATATTTGTGATCCAAGAAGAAATTATCTGTCCAATGCATTTCAGTATACGAATGAACCGTGGCTCTCTGGTGCACTGGTGGACCGAAACATTGGCTGGGAAAAAATTATTGTCTCATTACAATTTGGTACATGGATGAAACATGCATTTTCCCTTCCTAGGTTGTTGTTTACACTCCCAATAAGACATGTACCTCCTCTCATGGCAGTGTCTGACTCAGGCAGCACTGATGTTAGAGCTGATGACAGCAATCGTGTTGGGATACAAAGTCCAGTGTTGCCATTCACGGACAACGTGTTAATAGCAGAAACAGTGGCCAAAGCATCAGCAACCCCTTCAGCCAGAGACGCTGGCTGAGGGAAGGGATGATGACCCAACGTGGATTCAATGGTTCAACACTGGTGAATAACAGTCTTAATTTATGCTTACATTCCTTACGTAATGCTCATTATGCTTGCTTCATGTCTGCTTTTTTTCTTGCTTGACAGTCTGAACGATAGATATATTAAGGGTTGATGGGAGCTTTTGGGGGGTGGCTGAATTTATTATATTAGTTTAAGATTTATTGTTTCAAAAACTGTTGATTCCCTGTCTGCTAATTTTTCTCAGTCAGCATATGCGTCGGTTATCAAGGCATACCTGTACTACCATGATGAGTTTTCAAAAGTCAAACATTAATATGTGGTCAACAGTCGAGTTGCTTGATAAAAGTTTTGTCTGTGCATACCATTTTGAAAGTAAACAAGGAGACAAGTTACTAACTGAATGAAGAGATAACATGCAAATGAGTCAGTTATCTGGCAAATGTAAATAAACCATGAAATTTTTTAAAAGTAAATAAACTGAGAAAATTTGTTTTAATCATGCAGTAGTCATTTTTCACAAGAAACTACAGGTACACCACCAATTTTCCGGGAATTGATGGTCCGGCACCTCCTTTAGTCTGGACAAAATTATGAGAGAGCACTTAACTTCCTTCCCTCCCAGCCAGGGTGAAAGTAGTCTTAGGCTTAAAATTTGTATCTTATAAAATGTCACAGACTAATCTAAGCAGAATGTAACTAGCATCGCTGGAATCCTTGCAGGATATTGATTAATTTGAGATTTGAGTATAAACATCATATAGTTTGCACAAGAGATAAAAGTTTTAGTCTTTTAGTGTACTACATTCGAGTACAAAGTGTGTACAGTAATATGTTGCTCAAAATTATAGCTTTTTCACAATTAATTTACATTTAACATTTGTTTAATTTAAGTTTCTAGCAGTCCATGGTGCTTTAGAGACACAGAGGTGTATAATTTGTGGATCAGAGGTGTATTGTTGGAGTATTATTACGTAACCTCGATTGGTCCAGCAAAAAGGATAATCCGGCAAGGCTTTGGAACCAAGGGAGCTGTAAAATCGGTGGTGAACCTACAATAAACCCATTCTTCTTCATATAATCTTGAAAAAGGCTTAACGATATAATAATTAATAATAAAATAAAATCATTCATTAAGGAAGTCATGACATTATCATTTTCCATGTGGGTAATGACAAACATCTAAACTTCTATACTCTACACATTCACCTGGAGCTACAGCACTTGTGTTTAACATTACTGTACAATAAGATTAACACTTACCTCTTTCATTTTAATCATGGACTGGCTACATGTCGGACATGCATAAAACCCTGCTTTAATAAGATCATTAAAACATGGTCGGTGTATAAGATGGCCACAAGGAGGAACATGTGACACAATCCTAGACGTGTGAATGTCCTCAAGGCAGACAGGACAGTTGGCTTTGCTCACTTTCTCAATGCACTGAAAAAATTGATACATATGCTGTAACATGGAAATACATAATAGCACAGTAGATATATTATACTGTGATTAAATACACAGAAGATAGATACAGTATACATCCTAACACTCATCGAATGTAAGGGTGATGTTCTTAAAAATATATTATGGGAGAATTGGATTAAGAAGAAAACAATTGCAAAAAATTTATTCTCCATTTTTTATTAAGAAACATGTGAAATGGCATAAATCTAATATAGTACAGTATTAATGAAGTATAGTAAGATCTCGTATTTCGCGAGTAATATCTAAAAAAAATTTCGCCAAATTCAAATTCACCATATGCAAATACAGTGATCCCTCGATGAACGAATGGTTCGATTAATGAAATTTCGGTTGACGAATTACATCCCATAAGGATCTTCAATTTGATTAATGAACAAAACTTAGATTAACGAAATCCTTATGACACACACGTTTTGTTGTGACCATCAGCTGATGGGTTAGTCTGCCAATTCAGTAATCTGTTCTATGTTTACATTCGTTTCCAGTGGAGTAAATATCAAGAAAGTTGTGCTCTTTAATATTTTTGCATTTTTTTTATTAAAATTATTAGTAATTTTAAAATTTAGTTAACATATTGATAATATATGCAGTACAGGGAATTAGTTTTTTGTGCGCCCATCAGCCACTTGACTCACCAACCAGGCGTCAGTGTGGCTTTGTTTACAGTGGAGTGAACATCGATTTTGTTGGTGTCTTGAATATTTTTACATTAAAATTATTGGTCATTCTGAAATTTAGTTAACATATTGATATATAGAACAGTGTAGTGTTGATTTAAATAAAATAATCTTGAATTACACCTATTGAACTTAAAATTTTATTGGTGAAATTACTGCATCAAGCATGGGTCCCATGAAAGGCGATTTCTCCTCCAAATTACTGCATCAAGCATGGGTCCCATGAAAGGTAATTTCTTCTCCATCTCCACTTCCTTCTCTTCTCCTCCACCCCCACTTCTAATTCCCATCATCATCATCAACCAGGAACCTTCTACATACACACCTCAAAGTAAGTGTGCTTTACTGCATTTTTTTTACTTTGTATGTACTTTTCTGTGAGCTGGAATGAATTACCCAATATCCCATTGAAATAATGGATTCGGTTAACGAACGACTCTGTGGAATGAATTGTGTTCGTTAACCGAGGGACCACTGTACAGTATAGTCTCGATTTACGCGGATTTGGTTTACGCGGCACCTTGCCAGACCGACAATTTATATTTACACGGTTCATTCCATGATTTACGCGGGAAGCGGCGCGGGCAGGGTGCGCACAAGGTCGCCCAGTCAACAAAACATTGCCAAGTTCTTCAGCCGCCACCCACCACAGCCTGCCCAAGTCAGTGATAGTGAGGATATGGACTTTGAGGGGTTTGACAAAGAGGCCCTGCAAGCCTCTATGGTGGATAGTGATACAGGTGATACAAGTGATACAGGTGAGGGCCAATAATCTGCCCTCTGCCTCAGAACCAACCCCAATCTCCGTGTACCCAGCCATCTCTTCCACTAAGTAAGTGTTAAAAAACATAATATTATTGATATTGCTCTTAACTATTAATTGTGCGCATACCATCATAAAACTAAGATGTTATTTTTACTACAACGTTACATAACGTATTGTGTGTGGTTGAAATATAATTTGTTTATTTACTGAAAATATTTGTTTTTAGCTCATAAAATTCATGGAAATTACCCGGCCAGAATATAATTTACACTGCTGGAATTCTTATAAGATAGTGATTAATTTGAATATAAACAAGCTATAATTTGCATTAGACATACACATTTTAGATCTAATTTAAGAATTTTATAACAGAACAAAAATTTTATCTCGTGCAAAATATATGACGTTTATATTCAAATTATTCGCTGTCATGCAAGGATTCCAGCAATGCAAATTATATTCTCCCAACTTTGGTCTGAGATATTATATAAGATACAAACTTAAAGCCTATTGTATAACCAGAAACCTTTGCTGGGAGGGAGGGAGGGAGGGAGGAGTGACAGTGACATGTTTGACAGTTAGGCCGAAGGTCTGTTAAAGTATTTATTTATTTATTTATGTCGTTTAGTTGAGTTTTTGTTTTTTGCTCATAAAATTGCATAGAAGTGACCGGGGAGAATATAATTTACATTGCTGGAATTCTTATAAGAGAGTCATTAATTTGAATGTAAACATGCCATAGTTTGCACTAGACAAAAATTTTAGTAATCATTTTGTACATTATTTTGATTACATGTACAGTTCAGCTTTGCCCTTAGGACAGTGTGTGCATGTAAATGAGTTTCAATAAATGAAAAAAGTTCCATGCATCGAGCCAAAAATAATAGTTGAAAAACTTTATGTAGACAGAGCTTGGATGGCTAAATTTTAGAATGACCAATAATTTTAATAATGTACTGTATAAAAACATGCACAAATATTAAGGTGCAAAATTTTCTTGATATTTACTTCATTGGAAACGAATGTAAACATGGAAGAGATTACAGAATTGGCTGAGTACCCCCTCAGCTTATCAGCTGATGTTCAAAACAAAACGTGATTTTCGTAAGGATTTCTTTAATCAATTTTTTTTCGTTAACCAAATTGAAGATTCTTATGGAAGGTAATTCGTTAACCGAAATTTCGTAAACCGAAGCGTTCGTTAACTGAGGGATCACTGCAGTTGCAATGTCAATTTATTAATATAATTTCTTCATTATTTAAGTGAATATATGAACATTTGGAAACTTAACATGATCTTAAATAATGATGAATAGTTTACTATTATAAAACTGATACAGTACTGTACTTTTGAATTGTTTAATATTAATCTTGACAGTGATACAGCTGAAAATATAGCCACCAATCACAATCCCCATTACATACAGCCTTACTTCACCAAGTATTGCCAGGTAAAATTGTGAGTATGAGAGCCAGGGTGGGGTCAATGCATCTTTGACTGACTGTACATTTCCGTAAAAAAAAAAGAACACCCCTAGAAACTCAGTATATTTTCAAATACAGGTAGTATAAATTTTTCACATAAACCCAGTACTGTACTATCTACATAGAAATGGCATGTGATCCTTTATTTACAGCAATATATAACACATGTTACTGTTAAAACAATAAATACCACTGACCTTGTGACTATCCTTAATAATCTGGGGGAGACATAATTCACATGTGTCACAATGGAAATAGTTGTCCCGGCCACCCACTCGGCACAGCCCACAGCCATCACAGTGGAACTGCTCTTTGTCCTCGTCATCGTATAATTTGCAGATTTTACAAAAGTACTGTTAAAGAAGACAAGTTAAAACATAAATGAGCTCTTATGTTACTACCCTTTAAGGATTGATACATTAAGACATGATACAGAAGATAATGAAGAAAAATTAGATGTAAGCAGGCTCAGTGACAAGTTGTAGAAGGCATTACAGGAAAAAGGTGTCAAAGCCTACAGTTCACTCAAGATCAGTGAAAATAACTGCTTCAGCCAGCTCTAACAACCTCAAAAACTAAATTATTTAAAACAGATTTTTTACAAAAATTAGTTTAACAATTAAATATACATACATATGAGAGATGGATGTTACATCTGCATCCGTGGAGCATCTGTAAAATTTCACATCCACATCTAGAGGTTGCAGATGTTACTGATTTGTTGAGTGTGGGAGTTTTATAATATCTATACTGTACTGCATACATGTAAACCTCGATAAACGCATCGCAAAGTGAAATACTGTAGATAGGGAGCATTATAACATGAGGTTCAATGGGATACAGGTATGTTCCCAGCCAGTCCCAAAACACACATGTATCACCGACAAAATAATTCCTACACTTATAAAATCAACAGAAAACAATTGAACAACACTCACCACATCATGAAGAATAAACTCGGTCAAAATCACATGTCCCCTTCAAGGCTAAGGGGACTCTTGTAGGTGGAATGGAGACATCACCCTGACTTCCACACAGCCTCTGGGGAGTCTCATATCGCTTCACAATGTCATGCTTCACCTCAGAGACACGGTTGTCTTGGATGCCTTGGCCTTCCCAGACATTTTCAAAGTTACAATGCTCACTTCACAGTCACAATAACAGAGCAAAAGAAATTGTCACAAATACAGAGCAAATGATGATAACATAAAAACAATGATAGCGGCTGACACTGCTCACATCATTTTCACAACAATAGAGGTGAAGCACTTTAAGGTCATAAAAACACAGAAAATATCACTTCAGTTACCATAACACAGTTCAATCTAAATGTTAGTGCTGTCCTCTCACTATAAGAAAAAAAAAGATGACAAGTACAATGTTCATACAGCCAACGACGCTGAATGATATTCGTGGAGCTACACCATGACGGAGAGATGCTATTGACAAAGTACCAAGCGCAGGACTGTAGTGCGGGGGTTGACCATGCGGCTAAGTATTGGTAGATATTACTGCGGCTTACAAGTGCAGCAAGAGATGCATGATGCATAGGGTTAATTATTGTTTCCTTATAAAATGTCACTGACCATTGGGGCCAGATTTCAGCATTGATAATCTATCCCTGTATTCCTGTTCTGTCTATCCGACCTATTCTTAACAAGCCAAGACTGAAGAAGGGCGTAGGGTGCTAGGGGTGAGGTGGTTCAAAATGACAATCTCTCTCTCTCTCTCTCTCTCTCTCTCTCTGAAAGAAATGGATTTCCACATACCACTTGAACAATTCCCTAATTGATGAATCCCAAATATACATGATTCAAAAATATAAACTAACCTAGACTAGAACTTTTTGAATACAGTGAACCCTCGAAGATCCGGATTAAAAGGGGGGACCACCTGTCCGGAAAAGCCGATTGTCCGAATTTTCTGGCAATTAATAAATGATATAAGAAGCACTAAAAATACAGTACTATTGTAGTGATAAACAAATTACCATATATAAACCATGCACTTACCTATGATAACATAATAAGAAACATTGTACCATTACTAGAGTGCATGAAATAATATTCCCACAAAACAACAATTGTAAACTCTGTTTGTTTCCCACCTCCTCGAGCACCTATCTCCAAGCAACTGACGGGTTAAGCAGCGCCCTCGGGCCTAAAATGTTCTTTGCTCTGGTTTGGAAATGTTTCTTAGGGAAACTTCTAGGAGGCCTCTTAGCCCAGAACCCCCAATTTTTTGTCCGGATCTTCCGAAATCCGGATTTCCCGGGTCCGGATCTTCAAGAGTTTACTGTGACCTTAACACCAAAAATATGATTACCCAATTAACTTTAATGCACACAAAAAAATACTAATACTTGGTATTGTACAAATATACATACCCTACAGTAAGTCCTCGTATAACGTCGGCCCGCTTAACGTTGTTTCGGTACTACATCGCTAATCTTTATATACCAAAATTCCGTTTAACGTCCCAATGACTCGGTACAACGTCGTTTTGCGTCGCCACGGACTACTTTTTACAGCGCAAACAACAATGGAGGAGAGAGCAAATAGCAGCAAAGAAACCCCAGTCAGAGCAGGAGGAGGAGGCAGCCACAGAGTCTCAGTGACTCGCCACCCTCCTCCTCCGCTCCCACCCTCCTCCGCTCCCACCCCCCTCCTACGCCCCCACCATACTCCTCCCCTCCTGCCATCCGCCTCCTCTGCTTCACTACCCACCACACACTCACTCTACCACCTCCGCCCATCGGTGAGTACCAATACAAACTTAGTACAGTAGTTGTAAAGTATGCATTATTTTCTATAGAAATGGCAATGATTTTCTGTATATGCAATGTATTTCATGGGGCAAAGGGAGGCTCAGGAACGTAACTCCCGTACAGGTATTTTATCTATTTCTTATGGGGAAAATTGACCCGCTTAACGTTGTTTCATATAACGTCGCTTTTTAGGAACGTAACCTCGAAATTAAGCAAGGACTTACTGTATACAAGTGATATCTCCGTTAGTCGAAACAATTGGTACAGGAAAGCCTGGTTAATTTAGGACCCAATCCAATTTACACCATTATTTTCTTCGTATTTATGACGACAATATTATAAAAAATTAAGTAAAATTACATTTTCATAAAAATACTAACTAAATCCTGATATGTTTATAAAAAAAAACAAAAAAAAAAACACGCTTTGCGCAGAGAGGCTGCCAGGCTTTATGAGTGGTTATGCCAGCATCACTAGTAAAAACAGTCGCAGCTGGCGGGCCCTTTGTTTTCACGCATCTGAACAAGAAAAGGAGAAAATCATTCTCAGGTTTCTTATGGCATTTTTTGCATCCCTATTCAACATGAGCAAGAGAACAAGATATGATAGTGCTGGTTCAAAATCTAAAAGAAACTACAGTAGATGTGTTAAAACGATATAAAAAAGGTGAGAGGTCTGTGGATATTATATGGATCAAGCAATGAACATAATATTATTTTCTGAAGTGGATCCATTAACAGATTGAAGCATTAAAATTTACAAGGACGTGAAAAACACATATGACCTCTACATAAAGATGTGCAATAAGAAAAGAAAGCGGCTCCTTACATCATCTCTCGAACCCGGAAATAAATCCCCCATCCCTGGATTTGTTCAGAATTTTCCAGAATGCATTATTTCATATCTAAAAGCCAGAAAAAGTCCCCCATCCCCGGAATTTTCGGGTACAGTCTCACCCAAAAGTACGTTAACTCTCCCAGCCAGCTATTGCTGCACTGCCTGCTTCAGATGTTTGAACTTGAGTCTGTTATTTCAAACCTTTAGATTCATTCGTATCAGTTTCATGTTCTGGTTGGTACCAAGACAGTTTCAAACATCTGAAGCAGGCAGTGCAGCAATAGCTGGCTGGAAGAGTTAACGAGCTTTTGGGTGAGACTGTACCAGAAAAGTTTTCTTGGAATTTCCGGTAATTGTGTGTGATTTTCATCTCTCAAACCCAGAAGAAAAAAAATCCCTCATCCCTGGAATTTTCCGAATCGCGGGAAAAATTTCTCTGAATTTTCCAGAAAATGTGCCCCTCGCCTGCGCGTCGCCACAGTCACCCAATGCCCTACAGTCCCAAGCTTTGTTCTATGGTGATTGAATATGGTCGTGATTGTGTAGCTCAACAATTATCGGTCAGTATCGGTGTTGTTACTTATAAAGTTTTTTTTTATTTACCTTGCAGTGAGAGGACATCATTAATATTCACTTTGTACTTTGTTTTGGTGACTTTGCAGTGATTATTTTTGTGAATGTAAAGTGCTTTGCCTCTGTTATTGTAAACATGATGTGAGCAGTGCTGGTCATTATCAAGGTTCACTTTGTTTTGTGACAAGTGCTTTTGCTGTTTTTGTGACTGTGAGGTAAGCAGTATAATGTTAAAAATGTATGGGAAGGCCAAGGCACCCAGGAAAACCATATCTCTGGACTTGAAGCTTGACATTGTGAAGTTGTGTGGGAGTCAGTGACGTCTCCACTCCACCTTCAGGAGTCCCCTTAACCTCGAAGGGGGCATTGTGATGATGACCAGGCTTGTTCTTAATGATGTGATGAGTGTTGTTTAATTGTGTTTTATGTATACCCTGTATTATTAGTGTAAAAATTTTATTTTCTGGGATACATGTAGGTGTTGGACTGGCTGAAACATATCCCATTGAACCTCATGCTATAATGATTCCGATTTACAATATTTCGACCTGCAATGGGTTTTACAGGAACCCAACCCCATTTGTAAATAGGGGGATACCTGTACACTTTCTGATAGTCCTTTGGACAGTCAATCACAACCTTAGACAACCCTTATTTTAATTTTCTGTATAAATCATTGCATATGGCATTTTTTTATGGTTGTATCCACAAAGCTTAGCTCTTGTCAAGCAGAAAGAATATTTTGATTTTCAATCACGAATGACAACACATTTGCTACACTGATTGACACATTCACATCAACAACAAAGGTCCTTAAGTCAATACACTTTGTTACAGATGCAACATGACATGCTTGCAAGACACAACTACAGTACAGTATCTAATACTGCTCTTTGCTTATACCTATTTGTAGATTAGTAATAACACAGTGAATATTAGAGAGAATGAAATAAGTTATTGAAATAAGTAGGTAAGCTGGCAGTAAAAAACTGCATTACCTTAGTACAGTATACTGTACTGTATTTTCATTATTACAGTACTGTACTGTTCTTATGAAATGTGAATTTTTGTAAACCAAAGCTTCATAAATTGGGGACTTCTGTACCTGTCTTTCCTTTTTCACCTTTTCACACATGTTAACTAAAAATACTTTCAATTATCATAACCTACAAAAGTTTTCATTATTTTTTTTTTAAAGGAGTCGAGAAGATCATAACAAAAAGGAAAAAAAATTACTGTACTGTAGCTACTGTATACTTATTGCATAATTACATAATAAAAATCACAAGTACTGTAATGTACTGTATTGTATTTCAAAGTTATGATTATTCTATTTCCACATGAAAAATAAAGATAAAAAATTATGGAGATGAACTTTACCTACAAGCAGAAATTTTATTTTAAATCTGAACTATCAAATGAAAAAAGCAGAATAAAGTACAGTACTGTACTGCTATTAGGAATGAACTTACATTTCCAAGTGTTACACCACATTCCTTGTTGGAGCACGTCTGGGCAAGTGGCTGCTGAGTCTGGCACATCATGCATTCTACCTTTGATAATTTGGATCTTATCAGCTGGTGAGTTTCACTGGCATTGTGGCAAAATCGACATATATAGTTGTTTTCGCAGCAGGGGCTCTGAAAGAATTCAAAACCTCATTAATTCATTCTTGAGGAGATATACAGTACAGTGGTCCCTCGGTTAACGAACACAATTCGTTCTAGAGGGTCGTTCATTAACCGAAAATTTCGTTAACCGAATCCATTGTTTCAATGGGATATTGGGTAATTGGTTCCAGCCACAGAAAAGTACATACAAAAAAAAAAAAAATGCAGTAAAGTACACTTACTTTGAGGTGTGTATGTAGAAGGTTCCTGGTTGTTGATGATGATGGGAATTAGAAGTGGGGGTGGAGGAGGAGGAAGAAGAGAAGGAAGTGGGGATGGAGGAGAAATCACCTTTCAGGGGACCCAAGCTTAATGCCGTCATTTCACCAATAAAATTTTAAGTTCACTTGGTGTAATTCAAGATTATTTTATTTAAATCAACACTGCACTGCGCTATATATTATCAACATGTTAACTAAATTTCAGAATGACCAATAATTTTAATGAAAAATGCAAAAATATTCAAGACACCAACAAAATAGATGTTCACTCCACTGCCAACAAGGCCCAACTGACGCCTGGTGGCTGAGTCAAGCGTCTAATAGGCGCACAAAAAACTAGTTCCCTGTACTGCATATATTATCAATGTGTTAATTAAATGTTAAAATGACTAATAATTTTAATATAAAAAATGCAAAAATATTAAAGAGCACAACTTTCTTGATATTTACTCCACTGGAAATGAATGTAAACATTGAACAGATTGCTGAATTGGCAGACTAGCTCATCAGCTGATGCTCACAACAAAACATGATGTTCGTAAGGATTTCGTTAATCGAATATTTGTTCGTTAACCGAATTGAAGAACCTTATGGAAGGTAATTCGTTAACCGAACCGTTCGTTAACCGAGGGACCACTGTAAAGGTAATAACTTTCTGAATCCTGCAATACAATATCCAGGGGGGGGGGGGGCAGGGGGTGTCCTGGGGTCCAGACTCCCCTTTTCATCAGAAAATTCCAATACTTTTTCTTTAATGCAGTACAGCATACTCTTGATTTAACGTAATCCGATATAACAAATTCTGGATTTAGCGAAAATAATTTTTTCCGTTCCATTATTTTTTGCTTGATTTAGTGAAGTAGTTTGCTAAATCGATTAATTCTGTTAATACGCTTACATCTACAGAGACACCTCAGACACATGATATGTACATAAAAACATTAGAAGCATTATTCATGTCTTACCTAAAACTAGGGGGTTCGGTGATTGTTTTAATTATTTTCTATTATTTCCAAACTTTTTTCCAACCGACAGCCACACTCTTTTGACTTTCTCCCCCACACTACTTCCTTTCTGAGGTTTCTGGGAGACTTTTGGCATGATGTCTAAGCACAGTAGTTAGTTGACCGAGAGGTAGCAGTGAACAACACACACGGTGGCGGCAGGACACAGACTGAGCGGATATAAATAAACCCAATGAACCAAGTAGCGGAATTTAGCGCAATCACGCTTGATTTAGTGAACTACCATAGTTCACTAAATCAAGCGATAATAGAGGAAATTCGATTTAAAGGAAAGGGGTGGCTCGAATTAGTTCATTAAATTGAGAAAATACTGTATAGTACATTATGCCCTGACAATTCGCAGACACCACCCTGGATGTACCCAAGAATGTCTAAGGGTACTTTTAAAGTTGCTGGCATTTTCACAGCCAGGATAGGGAGCCATTCGTTCTAGAGACAGTAATTTTACTAATGACCTCAGAATATCTCTTAATATCAAGTGCACATGGCTTCAAAATGGCCTCAAAATGCCCATGATATTAGTTAGATTTAAAAACAAAAATCTGAGAGGCTTACAGTACCATCCCCAGCTGGGTGGGCTCACTATCTTTACCATGTCCCCCCACCCACAACTTTTTGGACACCCCCTTTTGAGGTTAGGTAGTATATAAATTTGGCTAGGTTGGCCCACAGAAAAATATCTAAATCGTAATGCGGCCCATGACTGAGGAAAGGTTGCCCATGCCTGTGCTAGGGGATGAGAAAATCAGGATAGATGGCAAGAATATCTTCTAATACAGTGGGGTGATCTCACCTGGGATCCACTACACGCCAATGATGTCATATAATAAGCTCCGCCCATGTCCGTGAGTAGACTTGGTTTATTTAGACTTTGGTTGTGATTAGAACCCAATCTGACCTTCATTTCTGGTGCTTACCGCCCTTACCTAACTTAACCAAAACCTGGCTACTATCCTAAATTGACCCAAAACTATGTCTAAAAACACCCTTTACAATTACCGAACCGCTGACGGTCAGTAGTCTTATATTAGCCATTTCCTCACGTGGGCATGACTGAAAACTACATTCCAAAGACAGTATACATTTTTTTTTTTTGGTTTCTGTTTGTAACAACTATTTCATCCAAATGTTAATATACTTACTGTTTTGATGGAAATTGGAAAACCAACACATATAGGTACTAAAATTTCCATCCAGGAAGTATGGTGGGGTAGTCCATGATGTATAAGGGTTAACAGAGGAGTCAAGGCCAGTCAACCCACGCAACACTTCACCCGACTCCCACAACACTTCACCAGACTCTCCCACAACACAATACAATACACCACTTTGATAAATCCGAGAGACGGTTCTATAACATAACTAGTTCAAGAGAGAGTCCACTTACTACTAGTTTGCATTTCCGTCGATAATGTTCACATCCTTGGGTACATTTAGATGAATTATTTTCTGCCACCCCAGTATTGCCTGTGTTACTGTCAGCCATTGTGTTCCAACTAGTGAGTTGTGTTCTGGCATTGACTTTGCGTATACTGAAGGACAGTCATAAGATTTTTTTTTTACGTAATTTGTAGGTTTTATATCCATGGGCATTTAATTCAAACAGAAAGTTAAATATATCAAAGAAAAGTTGATAAATCACATACTAAATCTAATGAATATCTGATAAAAGGGGAAAGGGATGAGATGGTGTATTGAGACAATTGTTTTACTCATCAGCTGTTAGAGTCAAGGAAGCTCAGCTGATTCATATGGCATGACTTCTTAGGGAGAGCTTGTTACTTTTACTTTTATCCTCTTCGCCACTGTATTCCTTAATAATATTTAGTTTTACGTTTGTAAGCTCTAATTTCAGATCAGTTGACGGTATGCCCTACCTTATTCCACCTGATGATTAAATACGCAACGTTACCTGGAGGTATTTTAGGCCTGGGTGTTTAATCTTAATATGGAATTAGCAGGGACTAATCTTCAGGTGATCCCTGTTTTTTATACGTATCGATTTTCCTGACGAGTCGATTTTACCGAATATCTATCTATCTTGCTATTCCATCTTCTCCGCTTCTTCATTTCATTCTGCATTTATTTATCGGTCCTTTTTTTCAATTTGTTTGCTATTCTTTCTAACCTGCTCCATGTTTATTGTTATTTATCTCCATCTCTTACATTGACACAATACACGTATATATACCAAAAAATATACATCTAGGAAATACTGTATAAATTGAATTTGATTAGTTCGCATAAAAAGGATTTTAATTTTTACTTTACTTACTTTATCCTCTTCGCCACTGATCGGCTCGTTAGTCGCTTGGGCGGTCGGTCACGTCTCTGTTACACACTGTCGGCAAATACTGGCTCCAGAATATATCTGAACCTGCTCCAGTGCTTGTCAAGTCTGGTCTTGAAGGAGCTTGTAGGGGTATCGATATATTAATGTTGTCTAGCACTCAGGATGGAAGGAAACTCTAACGTGGTTTTCTTGTATAATATAAGTTATATGATAGACAGTCTGGTGCTGGAGGTGCCGTGTGGTGAGGAAGCTCAGAGAAGGACAGCTGGTGGGTCGCCATGCTCGCTGGCGGGAGCGAGGACCGCCAGGCAGGCGAGGAGAAGCGAAGGCAGCCAGGCAGCGGTGGAGGAGGAGGTGTTGCTTGTTCAAGAAGAATGGTCAGAATGAATCTCAATGGAGAGACAGAGCTTATATACCCAGCAGCAGCCGCTATGAGTCATGTTGGGAAAACCCGAGAAGTCGCCGGTCACTAGTTCCGTTGCTAAGAGGTCACTAGTTCCGTTGCTAAGATATGGTAACATCTGGTTGGTTGCTAGGGAGGATGGTAGCAGCTTGGTGACGCCGCTACGCAGTTGTAGGCAGTTGTAGGGGAGACGTCCACTACAAGCTCACACTCGATGCCGTCACAACACACTCTGGTAGATTGTTCCAAGAGTTCACAACTCTCATTCCGATAAAGTTACCGCTCACAGTTTTCTGGGCTTGCCCGCTTCTTCAACCTTGAGCTGTGACCCCTTGTGGGGCGAGCGTCCGCCAGTTCCAGGTAAGGGCACTCGACTGAGTAGTGCCCTTTGAGATGCTTATACATCTCAATTAGGTCTCCCCTTGCCCGCCTGTAGTATAAGTTGACCATATAAGTTCAGGCGTTCCAATCTCTAGGGGTAGCTGAGGTGCATAGCATATCTCGAGGACCAGACGGGGTGACAGTAGGGTCTACTCCTGACGGGGAATCACTCCACTCTTGAAGATTGTTACGAGGGACGAACCGCCTAGAATCTAGATATCTGAACGACCTCCTTGTAAGACGTAACAATTTAGTTGCCTGATTTACCTTCTCGCAATGGCCCGAGGACTTCAGCTCATTGTCAATATACACACCTAGGTTCTTTTCACATTTAGTCTCAATTAATTCAGTTTCTTCGTCCCGTTGAGACATGCTACGCCTCCTTACCGTTGCCACGTCCCAGGTGCATCCTCTTACACATCGCGACATTGAATCTTAGCAGCCATTTCTTCGACCATTCTTGGAGCTCACAGAGATCCTTCTCCAGCTCTTCACAGTCTGCTTGGTTCTTAATTTCCCGAAATAGCTTGGCGTCATCTCCAAACATTTGTATGGAGGAATGTACAGCGTCAGGCATATCATTTATGAAGCAAACAACGACGGACCAATACACTGCCCTGTGGTACTGTGGGGTATGTTTGTTTGGGTTCTCACTCAGGATGGGATGGAGAAAGGAAACTCACAATGTGCTCTATGTATTCATGTTGTATTGGATGTACAATGCAGCTTGGTGCTGGGAAGTGGCAGCGTGGTTACAAGCGTGATGTAGAGAGAGCTGGTTGGTGAGGATGCTCAGAGGAGGACAGCTTGTGGGTCGCCATGCTCGCCGGCGGGAGCGAGGACCGCCAGGCAGTGGAGGAGGTGGTGGTGTAGCTTGCTGCGGCTGTAGCTAGAAGAAGAGAGAGCTTACTTGGGCTATCCTTAGTCAAGATGACATATTGTTTACCATTGTTTGTATACCTGCACTGTCTGTACATTTTATATCCGCACTGTCTAAGTACACACAGAACTAAATAATGAACTTGTATTAGTTGTATGGCGATTTTACTGAATAATATTGAACTCCCTAGTCTAGTCTTTATTTGTATACATATATATTAATTGTGTTCGTTTGTATATATTGTCTATGTAAATTGTGTACCTGCATTTTGCATGTACACTTTGAACCAATGTGAACTTAAAAGACAATTTTACAGAATAACTATCTCATGAACCATGCGGCGGTCGACAAAATTAAGAAGAAAACCCAGAAATTCAAGACGTGGGTTGGGTCAAACGATGAGCAAGACAGGAGGATGTATGCAAGAGCCAGAAACCAAGCAAAGATAGAGTGTAGGAGGGCTGAAAAGGAGTTCCAGAGGCTGGTTGCACGTGAAATCAAGTCAAACCCAAAGGCGTTTTACCGCTATGCAAAGTCGAAATTGAAAACGTGAGTAGGAGTATCAGACCTGAGGCTTGAAGATGGTAGTTACGCAGATTCTGACCAGGATAAAGCTGAGGCATTGAACAGCTTCTTTTCCTCAGTGTTCACAAGAGAGGATGCAACTAACCTTCCTGCGTTTGAGGACAGACGGTTCGACACAGCACTGACCCACATTGTGTTCACAGAAGAGGGTATTAGAAATAAACTGTCCAGGCTAAAGGTCCATAAGAGTCCCGGACCTGACATGGTGCATCCTAGAGTGCTAAGAGAGCTGTGCAACGAGCTTGCAGAGCCTCTGAAGATTCTGTTTTGTAAATGCCTGGATGAACAAATGGTCCCCAGTGAATGGAAAGTGGCTTATGTGAGTCCTATCTTCAAGAAGGGCGATAGTCATTCCACGAACAACTATAGACCGGTGAGCCTGACCAGCATAATATGTAAAGTACTTGAGAGTATTATCAGAGATGCCGCGATGGAACATCTACTACGAAACAACCTTGTAAAAGATTGCCAACACGGTTTTATGCCGGGGCGCTCTTGCTTAACACAATTGCTCAAGGTATTGGATATTTGGACCCATATTCTAGAACGGGGTGGTAATATCGACAATATTTACCTAGATTTTGCCAAGGCTTTCGACAGTGTACCCCACGAAAGGCTGAAAATCAAACTGGAAGGGTACGGAATTCGGGGAAATGTCCTAGCGTGGATAGAAGACTTTCTACATGACCGCAAGCAGTGTGTGGTGATTAATGGCACGAAATCGTCATCTGTACCTGTAACAAGTGGGGTACCGCAGGGTAGTGTATTGGGCCCGCTGTTGTTTGTTTGTTTCATAAATGACATGCCTGACGTTGTACACTCCTCCATACAAATGTTTGCCGATGATGGCAAGTTATTTCGGGAAATTAAGAACCAAGCGGACTGTGAAGAGCTGCAGAAGGACCTCTGTGGGCTCCAGGAATGGTCGAAGAAATGGCTGCTGAGATTCAATGTCACGAAGTGTAAGAGGATGCACCTGGGGCGTACCAACGGTAAGGAGGCGTATCATATGTCCCAACGGGATGAAGAAAATGCACTAGTTGAGACTGTGTGTGAGAAGGACCTAGGTGTGTATGTTGACAATGAGCTGAAGTTCTCGGGCCATTGTGAGAAGAAGGTAAATCAGGCAAATAAATTATTGGGTCTTATAAGAAGGTCGTTCAGATATCTAGACGGTCCGTCCCTCGTGACGATCTTCAGGAGTGAAGTGCTTCCCCATCTGGAGTACTGTCACCCCATCTGGTCCCCGAGATATGCTAGGGACTGTCAGTTGGTTGAAAATGTTCAAAGGAGGGCCACCAAACTGGTGCCTGCACTTCGGCACCTCAGCTACCCTGAGAGATTGGAGCGCCTGAACTTGCCTAGCTTATACTACAGACGGGCAAGGGGGGACCTAGTTGAGGTGTATAAGCATCTCAGGGGGCACTACTCAGTTGAGTGTCCTTACTTGGAGCTGGCGGACGCTCGCCCCACAAGGGGTCACAGCTCAAGATTGAAGAAGCCGCAAGTCCAGAAAACCGTGAGGGCAAACTTTTTCGGAGTGAGGGTTGTAAACTCTTGGAACAATCTACCAGAGAGTGTTGTGACGGCACCGAGTGTGAGCTCTTTCAAGACAAGACTTGACCAACACTGGAGCAGGTTCAGGCACATTCAGGAGCCGGTGCATGCCCAGTACTTGCCAACAGTGCGTGACAGAGACGTGACCGATCGCCCGGGCGGCTTGCGAGCCGATCAGTGGCGAAGAAGATAAAAGTAAAAGTAAAAATATAATCTTATATTTGGATTAGTGCGGGTTCTGACGTCATTAACATCCCACCAATCACATCACGGTATCGAGGCGTAAACAACAATGGCGACCGTCAGCTGACGTAGAGGGGCTTGGTCGACAAGTTGCTCAACTCAAGTATTTTAAATGGAACATTACATAACAGTTAGTGGTGTTACAAGTAAAAATGTCTTCTGAAAGTGACACAGAGGAATTTTTCGACGCGTGTGACACCACACCAAACCGGCAGTCAGTGAGGTACACGCTAGAGGGGAGTTAGATGATGCTGGGGCTAATATTTATACATACAATGTTTACACTTCTCTAGTGCATGTGAAGACGAGATATAAACTATAAAAAATAATTACCTTATCTATTTCTGCCAAAATTTCGTGCCGTCAAGCTTCAGGGCGAATAAAATGAGTTATCGTGGCTTATTTGCACTCCTGTCTGTTACTATTCCACTCCAGGAATTTCTGACACGGTTTGTCTAGATTACAGTGTGTTTAGTGTCGGTCATCCGGTGAATCTTAGGACTTTTACCTTTGGAATCAATGTGGAGGTTCTGGGGGGGACCTCGGTTAGGATACATATAGTTCCCGGGTTCTGTGGCTAGGTTGGGTTGGTTTAGTTAGGTTAGGTTAAGTTGTTTGGATATCTCAATACAGGGATGCCCGAAACTAAAATTTTACTGAAAATTTTGGCTATGGTAACAACGGTGGACTTAATTTCAGAAATCATTCATTTTGGGTTTTATTTTGGTAAAATTTCACTTGTTACCACCCAAAGAAATGTGAAAATTTTATGGTTGCAATAAATAGTTTACAGTGACAATTCGATGATACACTTCTTCTATGATGTTTCTCACAAACAACCTGACCTAATACCCTAATTGGGGGGTTCCACCTCCCTTGACCTCCAGCATATACAGTATAAGTCATTTGCGAGGGAAACATCATAGAAGCAAAGTGTCTTAGAATTGTCTAAAATATTGATTGTGACCATAAAATTATGAAAATTATTTGGGTGGCAACAAGTGAAAAAATACCTCAATTTCCACATGTTAAGAAATTCAGTTTTTTTATGTTAGACTTCAATCTAAATGCTAATATGTACAATTTTCATCTTTCTAGATTAGTGTAAAGATAAGAAGGTAATTCCTTTTTTATATGATATTTATGAAGTTTATTATTGCCAATTTATCCTCTTTAATATTATGTTTAATATCATCTTTCCTTTTTGTATAAATATTGTTGAAAGAATCAATGTTTATACATTCTGTGAGGTGAAGAGATAACAATACTGTATACATATTACTGAAAAATTCTGTAATAATAATGTACCTACAGTGAATGGTACTAAACAGTACTGTATAATAAACTATGGCAAAGGAGCAGACGGTTAGCACCTGAACGAGCTTATATATTTTGTTCATTTTCTCCACAGTTGTTCTTTGGATGATACTGAGTAATAAAAGTCGAAATGACAACATTGTAGTATTTTTTCTTCTTTTTAGCCAATCCTTCTATTATAAATTACCTGTTAGTGGGCAGGGCATGAAAGAAGAGGGAAATAAAGGGGTAAAAACACTCTGCTCTGCATTCTTCACTGTTTCCATACTCTTACAATCTGTCTCTTCAAAAAGTAGGTTTTCTGGCATCTTCGTGGTGTAGATTAAAATAGTCTTTTTCTCTTTTATTTTTAATTTCTTTTTGCTCTTATTTTTTTGCCCCCTAGGCCCTGTTGTGGTGCGATGACCTGTTCCCGAGTGGGCTATTCCCCTTAAAAAAATAAAAAGAACACTCATCATTTGGCATTAATTTTACGTCTCTACTTGCTTCGTAGGCTAAGAAGTAAATTATTTACCCTAAATGTTAGATAGGGTGGAATCAAAGGCACTATGTCTATGAAATCTCCTCCTTTAGTTGATAATCTCTCTTCCCTTTCTATTCGCTGCAATGTTGCTTCACTCTCTCTTTTACAGGTACTTTAAGAGACAATGTTGGTGGATTGGCATCCTGTGTACCATCAGCAATGGCAGTGGGCTCGTAACACTTATCTTGGCTGCGGTGCCTGCTGTTTGTGTGTGGATGTCGGTCACACTAGAATAACCCGTTATAGTACATCCTTCTTTCCTCATCCAGCCAAACTGCGGAATGTTTTGCCATCTTCTGTTTCCATACTCTTACAATCTCTCTTGCTTCAAAAAGCTGGTTTTCCATCGTCTTTGTGGTGTAGATTAACATACACTTTTCTGCACTTGTTTTTCCTTTTTACCCCCCCTAGGCCCCGTTGTGGATCGATGACCTATGCCTGGGTGGGCTATTAAGAAAAAAAAATTGCGCCATCAGATCTCCCATTGCGACCATATTTTGGTTCACATCGTCTTTTATACAGGAGCCTCTACGGTCTTTGTTTACATGTCAAGAAATACATGATGATCTCATCGCATGGGTTTATTATGATTTACAGTACATTGGATGAATTTGTTCGTTTTTTCAAGAGATGTTTGGATAAACAGTGAGTTCTGCTATAACACGTGTTTTGACAACGCAAATTGGCTCTAACGCGATTTATGAATAGAGGAACGATATTTGTATAACGCGAACGTTTGTTTGCTGTAACGCGATTTTTGCTTGCTATTTCTCCAATTTTTTGGTATTAATTGTGAATATGGTAAAGAAGAATATCTCCAAGAAGCGTTCTGGTGATCGCATTCCCAGTGATGATCGTAAAAGAAAGGCTATAACCCTTGAAGAGAAGCTCGATGTTATCAACCTCAAAATCACCCTTCTCCCCCATCAAGTTATATTCATATTTTTTCAAGGTAAAGTGTTACATTTACTGTATGATTTAATTATTAGATATGAATGTAACATTTATTTAGACTGTGCTATCATTTGTGTTAGGCTAACTACTAAATTTTTTTCGATTTCGAGTAGTGATCTGCACCTAACCCTATTTTCTCCATAAGCCCTTCATTTGTAGCTGTAGACGAGGGGCGGGGCTTATGGGCCAGCTTAGCGTGGAAAGGGTATAGTCATTGTTAGTATGGTATGTTCATATTTCATGACCTTCCTCCCTACCATATATCCATTCTTTATATTGAAACAAAAATACCATTAAAGACCTTATCAAGAAATATAAAGAAATAAATTATTCATTATTTCCTTAATTTTTACCTTTAATATGGTACTTTGCAATGCTTGCACATGTAAAACACCTACTGTTGATAAATAATGTATTGAAGATAGCTTACTCCATATCTAAACTGCAATTAATGAGGAATTGCTTTTTTCATATTTAAATCTTGCTTACTTTTTCATCCAGAACACTAGTCTATGGGAATCCATAATGTTCCACCAACACCATTTTGATTGTTTACATAATTGCTTTCAGTGAATATTTCATACATGTGAATACTTCTAACGAATGTTACATTGTATGATATACTGCACAGTATATTTATCCTAAGGTGAACCAACCTTACCTACCTATTGTAACCTAAACAGAATACAGTATAGTACACTACTGTACATCATTGTTAGGTAAGGTTAAGTTGGTTAATTTATCTTGCATAAATCAATTGCTGTAAGCATTCACCTGGAAGAGTCATTAGAATCATTTGTAAATATTTTTTTGGTCAATAACAGATCATCACCATGCTTGCTTGGGTTGACCATGATTACCTGATAATGTTAGGAACATGGCAGTTGAGCAGATATAGCACTTGCCTTCTGTTCCATGGGTTGGCGGTTTGATTCCCAGTTCACCCAGCTGTAAATGGGTCCCTAAGTTTTCAACTTGGGGAAGTGAATGTGGTTGTGTGCAGTACTGGCCATGCTGCCTCCTTGTGTACTGTGGCTAAGTATAAAATGTGCTGTATCTACACTGTCCCTAATGGGCAGTCATACATGGGACCCACTTTCACATAATGATTTGGTGTCCTGGTTAACATTGCCTTTGTTTCCTGAAATGATGATATTGTTGAAGAGGGTTCATGCTATGTATAACAGGTCTAGGATCCTTTATCACAAATTATGATATGATCCAAAAAATTAAACTCTTGAACAGACCCTTCTGTGTGTGAGTAAAATTGCATACTGTATCTTGGATGAAAGGTAAAGATACTCTTATAAACTTCATGTCAGTAATTCAGGATTGTGAAAAGCTGTACAGTAATGTATATGTAAGTACATGTTCAACATGTCAAATACGGTTTTGAGGAAACCGGGAATGTGAGAAAATTATACATTTTCACCTGTATGACATGACCAGTGATCACATGATTGCCTGAGACAAATTTCACATTTAAAAAAAAAGTAATATATTTGCACTAGAATAAAATTATGCTGGTCAAGTGTGCAGATTAGCTAACCTGGTTGTTGTTGTATCCACATGCCTTAACTTGTAACCCACAAACTTTAGTGTTCACCCTAATCATTCCTAAGTTCTTGGAAACAATACTGTGTTGAAAAAAATTACCCAAGCACAATCATGTTTTCTGAAGAATAAAGTAATGTATTTTGTATATTGTAAACACAACTAAAGGAACAACCAGTATATTTAGCATGAAGTGGTGGTGTTAGAGAAAGTGAGAAAATGCCAGTGTTGATATGTAATCATTGTTTTATCGAGTGCTATGACAGTTCTGTAAATTATACCAAGCATTACCAAAACAAAAACAATTGAAGCAAAATCATGTTTACTGTTAAAATATAATACAATACCTGTACAGTGAATGCAAGAGACCGGAAGTGGTGGTGTAAGTAGAAAATTTGTATCAGCCTAGGCATAGGCTATTGTATTGTAGGGGTAGGTTCCAAAAATATTTGACGGTCAAAATCCCATTGGTCCCAAAGTTTCTTTTTAGATAAAGGATCCTTGACATGTGTAATCTAACTTCTGTGAGGACTTGGTGTGGTCATCCGGAAAGCTTTACTATAGTTTCCTCAGATAGTGCAAAGAGAAACCAATTTTCTAGAGGAAATACAGTAATCTGGTTCTGCGAGTTTAAAGTAATTTTTTTCTTCTAATTTACCATTTTTGTGATATAACACCATGTAAGCACTGTACAATATCTTCTTGGAAAATCACTGATAGAGGCTCAAAACAATTATGATTAGACATACTGTACAGTACAGGGAGTCCCCGACTTATGACAGGGTTAGGGACCCAAATCCAGGTCGTAAGTCGAATTGGTCGTAAGTCGAAAATGCAAATAATAATACATAGAAAATCTAAAATGAAATCCAGTACAATAAAGTAATCAACAATGAAAAATGAATAAAGTGTTACTGTGCACTTACCTTTAATGTAGTCAGCTGAATGCACACGGGGCCCCAATAATTTTTTAATTGAACATGGAGACTACTGTACATTAATTGCATGAAGCAGAAGAGGAGACAGGGCTGGGTGAGTCATCAATGTCGCTTTCTTCAGACAGGCTAACATACTTGCTTGTTGAAGGTATTGGATCATCTTTAGGGAGTGAAGAGGCAGCACTGGTGGGGCGTGAGGAGACAGCAGTGGGGGACTTCTTAAAACATATGTCCAATTTAGACTGCACAGTTTGCCTTTTCTTTTCATTGTAAATCTCCCTGTAGCAAGCAAGTGCATCTTGGATCATTCTGTCAACTTTTGCAAAATGCTCAACATTTTGATCCATTTCGTCAAACATTTGCATCCCCTTATTAATAGTAGCAAATGCCTCTGCCATTTGTTTCTTCTGAGCACCACCAGAACTCTCACTTTTATGCTTGATAGTCATTTTAAAGGGAATTAGAACTGAAAATATTGAAAATATTGTCAGTACACAGCGCGATCACTACCGACAACAATGATGGCCAAACACCAACTGGGCGCGCTATGGCGTGGACGCTGTACACCACGAGGCAGCCCAGCCCACGCCACGCTCTTGTACTGGACGGAAACGTTTCGGTACTGGAAATTACGTTATTTGAAAATTTTTTGGAGCGACTGAGGCGGTCGTATGTCCGGGTGGTCGTATGTTCAGTAGGTCGTAAGTCGAGGAGTACCTGTACTGTACTGTACCTGTATAAGGTAAAGCACAGATCGTGTTGGAGAAAGCACAGTAAACTTAGTGGTCTTACAAAAAAAAAATAGGCTTTAATGAAGGAGATATTTGAATTTTAAAGAATCTTGACTGGCAACAGGAGGCTGCAGTGTGAGTCAATTATGAACTTACTAATTGGTTTACAGTTAGACAGTGTAAGAGAAGGTTGTGTACAGTAAAATATATACAGTGCAGTATTCAGAATTATTAATGAGAGAAGTTATAAGTGATAATGAAGGACTAAAGTTAATGGTAAAATTATATCACATATATGCAATACAGATGATACTGCTCTTATCACAGATACTGAAGAGGCATTACAAAACTCATTAACATATTAGTAGAAAAGGGTGAAAAATATGGTTCAAGAGTTAATGCTGTAAAGACAAAAGAAATGGTTGTTTCCAAATTTGAAATAAATTCTAAAATAAAAATTGTGGTAGGCAACAGAATTTAAACAAGTGGAAAATGCTGTGTATTTGGGAAGGCTTTATATGGCAAGGACTATTGTATGAGTGAGACATGTGGACATATTCAGCAGACACCAGAAAGAGGTTGGAGGCTTTTGAAATATGGTGTTATAGGTGAATGCTAAGAATAAGCTACACTGACAGGAAAACAAATGAAGTACTGTACTAAGATTAGCAAAAACTTAAGGAGAAATACTTTAAACGTATAGAAAAAGTAATATGAGATACTTTGGTCATATACTAATTAGGGATGAGTGGATAATAACAGAAATATGAATGGGAAAATTTGAGGGTCGGGAGGTAGAGACTGGGATGCATGAATGAAATTAAAAACTGGGTCTCCAGAGAGATACAAAACCTTGGAGGATTAGTAAAAACAGCCAGAGAATATTTAGAGTGTAGGACTGTTGTCACCAAGCTTCATATATGAGGATAGTACTCTGATTGATTGATAGTTAGAATTATAATTAGGGTTGCCACTTTAACCCATTGAGTGGTAGTGATTTCTCTCGGCTGAATAAAATTATCTGGCAGTAGCCAGAAGGAAATACTGTACAATCAAAGACAAAAGTCGTGTCGCTTTTTTGTCCGAAGATTAAATATAACTCCTGAAATAATATGAGAGCCCCCTACCACCACACGGCAGAGCGCACCAAGAGTCTAGCCCTTCAGCATATGTTTTCACCAAATTTCATGACATGACTTTTGTCTTTCGTTGTACATACCTAATGCAACTCTGCTATTTAAAGGGTTAATATTCAGAGTTTTTTAATCGGATCTTCACTTAAAGTTTGCCTAGTGCATTAACCCATAAGCCCTGGGTTAGGGTGCTGCTGACAGTATCTCCCCTCCCCCCCCTGACAGGGATAGATAGAGAAAAAAAGCAACTCCCCCAAAAAAAAAATGGCAGGAAAATAGGCGGACGTTTTGGAACGTCACCTTGGGCATGCTAGTCGGACGTTTTGGAACCTCACCCAGGGTCTAAGGGTTACCATAAATGAAAATTGGTGAATGAGAAAAAATTAATAAGTTTGGTACCCCAGTGGGGTTATGCAAAAAGTATGTAGCATATACAGTACCTCTACCAGTAGAGATTATTTATATGCATCATACTGTAGATAACTTGAAGTAAATTTTCAAAACTATTTAAATTTCTTTTTGCCCCATTGGTTGTCACCATGTTTTACAGACTTTTTTTTCTTGTCGTGGATGTGTTATGGACGTCTTTCTTCTAATTTTCTCACGCAACTTGTCTAAGTTTTCACGGGACTGTTCTAAGACTATAACTTTTTGTTATGTGAAGATACACACCATAATCAGAGCAACTGAAATCTTTTGTTCACATTTTAATTTACAGTATTCATTTATACCTGAGTATCACTGAGCTGTGATTCATATGCTTTAATATTCTTTACAGATCAGAGGAAGGAGCAGCTGCAGAGACTATTTCAAAAGATCATCAATGGGTACCGCCAGAACATACAGCAGCACTGGGAAACTTGACTATTGTAAGTGTTACTCTAAAGGAATCTTTAATTATCTGAATTTAAACACCTTTCAATGCAATATGGTTTCTTCATCTCTTATTGCGGACTAAGAGCATTCCGAAGAACCTCAATGAATTTTTTTAACTGTGATGTATGGATTAACAAGACTTATAAAACCTTGATATTTACTCAAATGGTAATGAATTTAAGCCTTAAAACCGATTACAGTACTGTATTGGTGGACTAATACTACAGCTGGTGAGCAGGCGAAAACATATTGGGAAAAATTCGTAAGGAATTTGTTAACCGAAGTGAAGAATCTTATGGAAGGTAATTCGTGAACCGAAATTTCGTTAACCGAGGCGTTCGTTAACCGAGGGATCACTGTATTACAAATAAAATCGGCTCGGTATGAGCACTTACACAAGGAAGAAAGGTTGAGAAACTTTATCCGCCTGTTATCTCAAAATGAACTTTTCCAACACTCAGATTGTAATTTCTCTGCCAATTTTTGATCGATTTCAGTGAAATATACACTCAGAGTCCAATTTTTTCTATCTTGTAAGATTTATTTTGGGTTGAATATTTAATCTCAATATTTTGACAAAAATTTCAACCAAACTTGAAATTTTTTTACCTGTATTCATAAACCCAAAGAAAACAAATATATCGCTCTGGACTCTTCAATGACAATACTAGATCTCTAAGTACTATCAATTTCAAGGCAAAACAGAAAGAAGTAATGGAGAAATTATACCTTGAAAATTTAGACAAATATGATAAAATGTGTAAAGGGTTGAAAATTTTGAAAGAGTAGAAGGAGGTTATGGGGCTAGAATTGATGTAAATATGATCCTTGATTGATGACAGGAATATCATAACAATCGACCAAAATTAAAAGCACCTACACCAAAAACTGGACTCTCCTCTTAAAGGCATTCATATTTAGTGTTGGCACAGCATTCTCTTACTCCAAAGAAGTTAGCTCTGATAATTTTCTGTACTGTACTTGTGGTTTTCTTTAACTTGAGGTTACACTTTGAGTTTGCCACCGCTGTGAAATTTCATCTTAGTAAGAAGGACTAATCCAGCATATAAACTGCTTTGTCCAAAAGCTGAAGAAATATAAATGTATAAAAGGAATTGACTGAAAAATGGAACATTCTTCATGGAAGTGTCACTAATACCAGTTGGACTTAAAATGTGGGTGGAATGGTTTGCTGCAAGAGATGATGTGGAATCAGAAAGAAGCATATAACATTGTTTATTAGATCAGTTTATGTTACACTATTTTGAATAGATGTGTAAAGAAGCTTGGAAAACAATTAAATTTAGACTGGAAAAGACTGGAAATTTGTGCATCAAAAGTTACGAGAAACATTTGTTGAGATAAGGAGATTATGGAACATTGCAAACTATCTACAAAGCAGAATGATGTTCAAAATGCAGATCGATGGTGAATCTGCAAATAGGAGAGGAATTATGGTTTCTGTATTTGTAACAATGTGTGTAAGGGGTTGAGCTTATCAGTAGGTTATTTAATTTGATATTGTATAGTATAAGCAGTGCCCAATTTACAAAGGTGTGGCTTACAGAAATTCAAAGTTATAAAAAAAATGTCCCATGATTTGATTTCCGAATGAAAAACCTGAATTTTTTAGATTTGTTTTATTTTCATATTTTTTTTATTAAGTGATGATGAAAAAATGCACATTTACAGTACTCTCATGAAATACAGTAAGACTCCTCTAAGTCGGACTTCTGTAAATCAGAAACCATAAGTCAGACAAGCTCTGACTTAGGGGTGTTTTGTGGGGTTCTGAGGAGTCAACTCCCATAGGCTTGTTGTTGTGACCACTGCACATGCACTGTTTTGTTATTGTATTTAATGCTTCCCTGGTGTATTATTATGTCCTCTAGAGTAAGTAAAGGCAAAACAACATCACTGAGGATCACTGAGAGAAAAGGAATGGTGCTCAGAATTCTACCAATTGAAAAGCAACTGAAGATATGAGACAGAATTGATGCTGGGGTCTCCATGAATATTATCAGTTAGGAATTTGGGCTGAAGTGGAATACTTTTTATGACATTAGACAGATTTAAGTGCATCCAGTACTAGATATAAGTAGGTAGTAGGCAGCTACCAATCAGGGAGGTACTACCACTTGGGAAGATATTGTAAGCATACTGTATTGCCTGATGGTAGACCCTGCTGCCATATGGCATCACAAAAATTGTGACCAAGTCCCAGGTTGCTGATGTGACTTTCTGCCTCATTTACACACAATTGCAGGGTCTCAATTGTTTCCCTTACTATTGACAACACACACACATTTAGGAATACTGTACTGTACAGTATTGTATCTCACTCTTGATCTTTTTTCATTTTTGTATTTCTTTATAATTCTTTATTATTATTATTATTATAATCATTATTATTATTATAATTATTATTATTATTATTATTATTATTATTATTATTATTATTATTACAGTGTTATTATTGTTATCATTATTATTTTATATTTGTATTTTATTTTTGTATTTTTTAATATAAATTTTATTAATTCTGAATTATTATTATTATTATTATTATTATTATTATTATTATTAGTATTAGTATTAGTATTAGTATTAGTATTAGTATTATTATTATTATTATTAGTATTAGTATTAGTATTAGTATTAGTATTATTATTACCGGTATTATTATTATTATTATTATTATTATTATTATTATTACATCTTTGTCCCCCAGACCCCAATGTGGGTCAGTGACCTTTGCCCAGGTGGGCTAATCCCTATAAAAAAAAAGAAGCTAAATGTGAAGTATAACAGTACAGTATACTGTACGTACTGTAAATGTGAATACAGGTACAGTATTGCAAGTGTAAGTAGCCCCTCATTGTCCTCCACCTCAAGATTTATTTGCTGCAATAAAAGTAAGTGCAGTGTAAAAGTATACTGTTAACTATGCTGTAATATTGTTTTTGGAAGGGATTTTTCAGCAAAATGGTGGTTGAAAGTTCCTGGGCGGGAGGTTATACATAAGTTGGAATTCTAGATAAGTCGGACAGCCTTGAGCCCCATATACTTATTCTGACTTAGGGAGGTCTTACTGTATGTGGAAAATTAAATAATAGAAAATTACAGTATTCTGTATTCTTAAATTTCAAATGTTAATTACATTACAGCATGTACAATAAGGGTGTGGAGGTGTAAGAGAAAATGTAAATTTAGAATGTGAACAGATGTTTGGAGGTGTGGGTATTGCTGCCAATGTGAGAGAGCTTGTATGTAGTGTTAGTTAGGTCATCTGACTGATGACTGTTTGTACCATGTTTATCAGGGATTTAGGATGACACAAGTAACTTGTCAGGGGTCAAGCTTAGAATTCACCCCCCCCCATAGAGAATGTACAGGGTATATCAAATTGCAGTTTAGGATGGGAGGGGAATCAATGTGTTACTACAGGGTGCAGTAATACTCTATATTAATTATATGAGTAGATAGTGGCTGAGCATTTCATACTGTTCATTGTGTTTCAAATCTCATCTGGTTTTTTTCATAAGTACAAGTATACAGTAGTATAAAATTGTTACTGTACTATACGGTACTGCGTGTATTTGACATTTTTCTATTTATCACTTACAATCTTTGGTCACACCAAAATTTGTCATTAAAAGCACGTTTTGTGGAATTTTATGACATTTAGAGGAAGTATTTTATTTTGTAGAAATGAATCTCAGATTTATAATGGAAGCCTATGTGAAAATATGTGGAAGGTTTTTCTGGAATGGAGCCCTCTCATAAATCAGAGAATGCCTGTACAGTACTCCCAACACATTAGACAATTTACCTCAGGTTACTTCTGGTTTTTCTAGGGTCAAGATTTGCTCCAGTCTGTAGAAAAAAATTTAATTCAACCAAATCAGCCGTCAACTCTTATGCAGCCACCGTCCCAGCCCTTCCTTCACCCACTGAAAAGTTTTCAGGTGAGTTTTTATTTGTATTTTTATAAGGTTTTTTGATATTTAACCCATGGGGTGTGGCAGTTTTGCTGCTTAAGTGCAACAGCTGCAATGCGCACATTCACACATATTCATAATAAATTTCTTATCTCACTTATTCCACAACTATTTGGTACCACTGGAATAATCAGAAATTTTATATAAACACTTTTCTTCTATAACTATTTTTTCCGAAATATGTATGCTTGATACCGGAGTAAGGTTCATCTTGCAATCACATGAAATAACGAAGGTATAAAGTGATGTACAGGAGATCCCCGGGTTATGTAAGTCCGACTTATGAACTTCCACCGATATGAACGAGGTCCCATAAAGTTACTTTAATTTTACTTTTTTTTTTAATGGGGATTAGCCCACCCAGGCACATTAGACAATACAATGTTTCAAATATATTCCCAGACGGTAGTACCTTCCTGTTTGATAGCTGCCTATTACCTACTACCTTTACCTGATGACTTATTTTTTACTTTCATTTACTGTATTTTGTAATTTTATTTCTTTTCTTTTAAAGTACAGTACTGTAATTGATTTTAGGCTATGATATACCAGTGGGATTTTAAATATTTTTCTGTAAGTACATTATGCACATAGAGCATCTGATCCGACTTAGTACATTTTTTAGTTAAAAATATTTGTAGGAACAGAATTCATACTTAATCCGGGGACTGTGTATGTGAGCATTTTCATTAAGCGTAAACCAAAATTTGGTGTTCTACTCTCACTTATGTATAGAAATTATTATTTTATCGTGATTTCTAATATAAAACTGTCTGTAGATAATATTCTTGCAATACTAATGCAACAAATCCCACCTCTTTATCTCAAATAGCAAGTTTGCTATGACTCATTACATACAATTATCTCTCTTGAGAGAGTGCTTACCCAAACCCAAGAGTGTTAATATATAAATGAATTTTTGAATACCCATGTAATAAGAAAAAGCAAGCCATTTTCTGCTTTTGAACTGCTTAGTTCTATGAACTTATATAGCAATATCTCCGTTAGCCGGAATCCCTCAAACCCGGAACTCTCCAATAGCCGGAATTTAAATTTTCTTGTATTTTTTCGGAAAAATTCCCCAAATTTACAGGTTTGGGAACAAATTGCGAGGTTGAAAATTGGGACAGTTTCTGAAAAAAAGAAGGTAAATCTGTCCAAATTTTTATTTTTGGTCCTGGGAGCAAATATTGATTATGAAATAATGCACAATTACCAGAAAATCTGAGAAAATTGCGAGAAAATCATTCCAAATCTTTCTGCTCCTGGTCTGGGGACAAGGGTTCCTGGCGTTATGAAACATTGCATCATGTTTAGCCGCATCCTCACATGGTTGGTGCGAAGACCAACCACTTGGGTAATGCTGGATTTTTTTGCTCATGATCTGTATATGATTACTGTGCAAATATAAATATTTCTTCAAATGTACAATAATAAAAGGCTAAAATAATACAGTAATAAATAAATGTAATTCCGGGCCGAGCCAACAAGGCAAAGGGTTAGGTGACGGAGTCAAATGGTTAGGTGACATGCCAAGGCACTTTCCAGCACTCACATTAAAAGTACTTTAATACTAAACCTGCCTTATAACATTTTAATTTAGAATTTTTATTTTAAAATTAATTGATACATGATGGCTCGATTTGGCTACTTTTGCACTTAGACAATTGATCAGTGAATAACCAGGGCATATGGAGATGCATTATACACTAGTGATGTCATGAAGCTTTGCAACTGCAACCACCATGCACAAATTATCACAACCAGTACTCAAGTGTATTAAGTTAATTACTAAAAATTTTATGTCTAGTCCAAGCTATGGGATGTTTATACTCAAATTAATCGCCATCTTGCAAGAATTCCAGCAATGCAAGTTACATTTTGCTAAGTCAAGCCAGTGATATTTTATAAGCGGAAAACTTAAACTCACTGCCTTTTATAATCTTCGAGTCCCTGACAACTTCTTACACGTCAACTGTCAACACCCTATCTCCCCCTCCTCCAAGCCAGCAGGGGGGTGGGGGGGTGTAGATGGCAGTGGCAATTAATGATGTGAAGGTTGTTTTAGGCTTAATGTTTTATATTATAAAATGTCACAAACTTGACTTAGCAGAATTTAATTTGCATTCCTAGAATCCTTACAAGATAGCAATTAATTTGAGTATAAACATCTCATAGTTTGCACAAGACATAAAATTTTAGTCCTTTAGCATAGTACAGTACAATTGAGTACAAAATGAGTACAGTAATATTCTGCTTAAAATTATGTTTTTTTCATGGGAAAAAGTCTATATAACTAGCCACAATTGTCAGGATATTGTGGTTTCAAGTGTTGCAGAGTATCTCAAATAAATTCTTTGTTTAGTTCTGTACGTAGAGACTTGGGGATAGAAACCATAATAATTTGAGCTTATTAATACCAGTACCCTTCATATACATTAAATTGCTTATTTTTCTCTTTTTATTCATCTTGTCATTTAAGGATATCATTTTGGAAATGTGTCAGAGAATTTAATCAGGACCATTATGTTATCAAATTCATCTCTGACACAAATAGGGGTTTATAACAAATGCAGTGAGAAAGGGAGAGGGGAAAGACAATTGGAATATGGCCCCCCTCCACAAAGGGTAGCCTCACTGATTGTTTGTCACCAACTACAGTACTGTACTGCCTCATTCATGATACAATATTGTTTATTTGTTTTTCATTAATTAGTAAAGGTACATTACTGTAATAATCTGTGCTTATTAATACCTGTACCCTTCATATACTGTACAATACAGTGTACAGTACTGTACTATGTATATACCTCATAGGCAAAAAAGAATGTAATTCAAGACATCTTCAGGTCATAAGACCCACTAATCTTCCACCCAACAATGGGTGACTTGACATTGCATCAGGTCAGGTTAGTAACATGGCCCAATAAAATCCCACCCAACCTCCATCACAAGTGTTAAGATGTGATTGCAGTTATGTATTACAGTCAGCTGAGTGAAGTATCTGCCTACTCTAGGCTAAAGATGACAGGATCTGCTGGTGAGTACAATATATGCAGTAGTATACATTACAGTCTCACCTCGACTTACGACGGGGTTCCGTCCCGACGACCAGGTCGAAATAATACCTAGAAATTCTAAAATGGATGTCTCTTTTTCTTCTCGCCACCACGAGAACTCTCACTTTTATGCTTGCCAGCCATTATAAAGGGAATTACAAACGAAAATTTTGTCAGTTCACAGTGGGATCACTAACTTCGGGACTCGAAGGTACGTAATGTGAAAAAGTATTTTATACGACCATGACCGTCGTATGTCAAGGTTGTCGAAAGTCGAATATGTTGTAAGTCGAGGAGAGACTGTTTTATGTTCACAATATAAACAATATTGTATGTGTACAGTGGTGTTTGCATAAATAACTGCAGCTTCTATGAGCTGCATTGTTTACTCTTGGAAAAATACTACTACACTGTCTTTGCTGTAACACAGCTCTATTCATGCTCGTATCATATAGAGCTTTTGTTTTTTAAAATATATTTATCTAACCAAACTTTTAGGTAAAGTATTCAGGATTATTGTGATAAAAAAATGGTTGTCTAACAAAATTAGAAATGACTTTATTGACTGGTATAAAAATTTCTTATGTTTTTTATGAAAGAATGGAATTCCCATCATTATATCATATCAAATTATTTCATTTAAAGGATATATTATTGGAAACGTAGAGAATTTATTAAGGATCATTATGGTGTCAAATTCATCTCCCTATCACAATTAGCTACTCTTAAGTGGGGGGGGGAGGGGGACTGACTGCATCACCCAACCCCTTCAACCCCCCAAAAAGGTTAGACTCCCTCACTCTCATTACCCACACTGCTACACACAGCAACACCACCCAAATATCACACACATACACCCCTACATCACACACATTCCAACACCACCCTCACCCCACGTCACTCTCCAACACCACCCTCACCCCAAGTCACCCTCCAACACCACCCTCACCCCACGTCACCCTCCAACACCACCCTCACCCCACCCTCCAACACCACCCTCCCCCACGTCACCCTCCAACACCACCCTCACCCCGTCACCCTCCAACACCACCTCACCCACGTCACCCTCCAACACCACCCTCACCCCGTCACCCTCCAACACCACCCTCACCCCACGTCACCCTCAACACCACCCCTCACCCCACGTCACCCTCCAACACCACCTCACCCCACGTCACCCTCCAACACCACCCTCACCCCACGTCACCCTCCAACACCACCCTCACCCCACGTCACCCTCCAACACCACCCTCACCCCACCCTCCAACACCACCCTCACCCCGTCACCCTCCAACACCACCCTCACCCCACGTTACCCACACCATTGCCACACACACACACACACACTCCAGCATCACCCACACACACCCTCCAACATCACCCACACACACCCTCCAACATCACCCACTCACACCCTCCAACATATCACACACACACCCTCCAACATATCACACACACACCCTCCAACATATCACACACACACACACACACACACGACAGCAAGCATGAGGAGTGAGAGTCTTATTATATGCCAAATTTGCGTGTGTGTGGTAGCAAGTTAAATATCGGTTGTTCAGGAACGCTTGGCAACACTCATTTCCACTCCATCTCTCTAATTACCCACACTTTTCTGCTTTCTCACTCCATATTTTAAAATGCTGAAGGGATAAAACTTTGCTCATTTATACTTATACTTATCACAGTCTCCCTTAAAATACTTTAGGTTTTGTATGTAATCAAGACATCTTTAGGTCATGAGACCCCCTCATTCCCGGAATTTTCCGGGTAATGATAAATGTTTTCAGACGTTTCAGAAATTGCTCATTACATCATCTCTCGAACCCATAAAAATGTTCCTCATCCCTGGAATTTTCCGGGTAACAGAAAAATTTTCTTTTAAGTTCCAGAATTTGCCCATTACATCTTCTCTTGAACCCAGAAAACACCCCCCATTCCCAGAATTTTCAGAAAATGCACCCGATTTTCATATCTCAAGCCCGGAAAAAAGATTCCCCCCATCCCCGGAATTTTCTGGGTGTAGGGAATTTTTTTTTTTTAATTTTCCAGATAATGTGCCCCTCGGAAAATTTCAATTCTGGCTATCAGAGAGTTTTGGATTTGAGGGATTCCGGATAACGGAGATATTACTGTACTGTACATATCTACCATGCTTTCATCTAGGGATACAGTTTGTTGTGAGTTGTAGTGGCTCTTGAATAATTCATTGCATGAATCTAAAAAACGTCATAATCTTCCCCATGGATCGTACAAAGGATCCTTCCTTGGTCTAAGTAAAGAGTTATCGTTGACTTGAAAGAATCTGCTGATGAGAAGTTATTCATTGAGTGACGTTGCGTCAGAGAAAAATAGGACAAAAGTCTCTCGGTAAGTACAGCACAGTACTCCAGGAGTCTTTCACATTATTCACAACAATTAGGCTCATGCATTAACTTAGGCCTTAATATTTTCTAATATTATCACCAGTAACAGGTTTTCATAGAGAAAAACGACTTATCTTGTGTACTGCAATCCACGCATTTTTCTCATGGAGAACTTCGGTAGCATGCTTATTTGGTTCACAGGCAATTTTATCCATAATGTCATTATGTCTTTGTATAAATTAGATATTTGACCCACAGAATACGTCTTCTGGGCATATACCTGCGCCCAGGTGATCGTCACACATGTCAAGTTATTTCACTCTCTGTCTCATTTTCCTCATTCAATCCATCACTTTCTTCATCACTAGATATTTCAAAGTCATCATCACTTATGTCTGAATTAATGGTGTTTTCTGTATTATCCTTATTTCGATGGATATCAGTGGTTAGCGATGATAAGAAAATTCTGGGGCACAATTTGTATCCGAATTGTCTATGCGTGATTCGATTTGTACCCCTAAAAATATAGCTAAATCTGGCATATTTTTGTCCTATCTGCTTATTTATTGATTAGTTTAAGCGAGTGTAATAAAATTCACGCCTCCAAGTGTGACATATGCAGGCGGGCCGTTTGAAATAAAGAGTTGCCAATAATGATGCTCATCCTTCAGCAGCATGAAAAGCATCTCTTACAGGTACACTCCACACTTCGTGGTTTAAACAGCCATTTTCTCAGTCGTCCGGGAGCTAGGTGAACATGTTTGGGAGGCAGTTCCTGAACATGTTTATCTAGCTCCCGAACTTGCTCACCTAGCTCCCGGACGACTGAGAAAACGGCTGAAAGAAAGGGAAACATCGTTCTGTCTGCAACACTCCATTTTCTTACAGTACTGTATCCACCTTGCTTTTTTCTATTACATTCATAACACACAGCTATTATTTATCTATTTCTCTGGATGCAGTTATTTTATTTATCCAAAAAATTTTCACTTCTACTTTTCCCTAATTTGTTTCTCTTTTTAAAATTGCAGTCTTCAAAGGATTTAATATCATCAGAACAACAGAAGATTGAAGTCACACATGTTGGTTTGGAAAAAGAAGAAAGTCTGAGCCTAGGTGGTCTAAGTATTGGAAAACGTGATGTGGAGGAGACAAGCAGTACCTGGAGTGGCTCACTTTTAGGGAACTTAGTGAGTGAATCACAATATTTCAGTGTTAATCTGTTTTGTCTAAAAAATCTTAAGTTCTTTTCACACACATTTTGTACTGATATGTTTTTGATTTTTACATTTATTGCCAAGGCATTAAATAAAATTGATTTAACAACTTAAGGCTGATGATGATGATGAGGAGGAAGGACCTCCAAGAGCTCCTTCGGGTGGTAGACGACGCTTGAGGCACCAAGAGGTACGAAGGCAAATTCAAAAGGAAGATGATGACCCTCCATTCCCTCCTTCACCTGTTGGAAGTCAATCATCCTCAGTTGATGCAGTTTACCCTACAGGCAGGACTTCTCATCCTTTCAGGGTTGTTGAACACGATTCTCTTAGTGTTTACAGCTCAGTCTCACTAGGAAAGGTTAGTGTACATGAAAACGAAGGTGAGGCAACTGACGCCATTTGTTGTTACACAAAATTTTGAAAATCTCAAATAAAATGTGATTACTATTTTATATTTGTGAATGTATAGTAAAACCTCGGTAAAGCGAAGGCGTGTCCGGAATATGAGGTCCACCTTAGAGCAAATTTTTCCAAAAAGACCGTCATTTAAAAAAAAAACGAGTACAACACCAATGTATCCAGTTTTATGAAAGAAATATATGTTTTTTAATAAAAATTAATTTTAAAAAGTAATGTACATAAAGTACTGTACACTTACTTAGGCTTAACCTTCTCACCACCCTTATTGATACCAAACTCTTTCTTAGTGGCCATGGCTATTGTTTAATTTTTCAATAATAATGCAAAAAATATGAATGCTACTTGAGCCTACGGTGAATGGACTAAATGTTTAAAAATTATAAATAATGATATAAAAAATGCCCAAAATACAGTACAGGGTTTTGGAATAATGCGATTCTTCAATTAATACCAAAAGCTAATTTACGCGCACGTATTTTTTAAACGCGGCCAAGACAGTTTAAATTTGCCTCGTGTATTCGCCTGGTCGCCTGGCAGTGGAGTCGCGTGTGTTGCCTGGTGAGGTGCTAGTAAGTTTTTACTATAAAGTTGCAGTCATATCAACATCAACGATTTTAATATTATTATTAATATTATTAATTATTATAATAATGTAACAAGAATGATTATTACTTCTAATGATGATGATAATGAAGTATTCTGTACAACAACTGTGACGACGTCCAGCAAGCTTCCCGCGCATCGCTTTCTCAGTTCACACCAGCACTACTTTTTCTCTGTGCTCTCATTTGCATTGTGTGTTTATCACGTACCTTTTTAGTGTTAAATGCTGTTTTTTCCATTGAGCATGTCTGGAAAACGTCCATCTGCCTTCTCTGGGGTGCCTAGAGCTAAAAAGGCACAAAAACAATCACAATGGACGCAAAATTAAATGCGATCACCCGCCTTCAGAGAGGAGAGCGTGTGTCGGAGGTTGGCCGCGTGCTTGGTTTAAGTGAGAGCACTGTTCGTACCCTGTGTGGTATATGATGGTTCCCCTAACCTGTACCATTTACATGTATTCCTATGGGAAAATTATGTTTAATTTACGCGTTTTTGAATTAAGCGGTGGCTTTCAAGAACATAACCCCCGTGTAAAACGAGAGGTGGGTGTACTGTATTTTACGGCAGGGAGTATTTTCATTATGTAGCCATAGTTACTTAAAATAATATATACAGTACCAGGAAATGTTAGGAATAAATAAAATTAATACTAACAAAAAATATTTTATTGAAAATCAGTAAATAAAAGCCAAATGAAAGTTCAACAGTCACCATTTGCATACACTCCCTATTTCACCATAGTAACGAACACAGCTGGCACGCCAATTCCCTAGCAACGCCCTCCTCTACACTCTGCAATATCTTCCCCTCCCTCGCTCAGCCAGCTAACTTGTGTGCAAAGAAATGTATATTCCCTTTGTGTTTCTCCAATTGTTGTATTCTCAAAGTATATGTAGACTGTCGGTTTATTGTTCACATCTGTCAACTTCATAACTTATGTCAATTATTTCCGTTAGCATGAACGAACAGTTATTTTAGATTGTCATTCGATATGTGTTCTGTCATTTGGTTATGAAATTTGTCAAATAGTTATGTAACAATGTCTCAACGGATATGTGAAAAGGTGTAGTTTTATTATTATTATTATTATTATTATTATTATTATTATTATTATTATTATATATATATACAGGTATTTTTATTTATTTATTTATTTATTTTTTAATTTGTATTTTTCCCCATTCAGGTGGGCAAGATATTAGCTGGAATGGAAGCCCTAACCATACGTGAGGGTCAGTTAAGTCAAGATACTAGTTCTCCAGCTGAGAATAAATCTATTGAATCTTCTCAGTCAGACCCTTCAAAAGATGTAATATCATCTGGCAACATAATTCATACAGGTGAGTGTTTTAAGGAATACCTAAGAGTCTTATTTAAGGTAAAGTTTATAATGTCATTGATCCTAGGACTAACATAATTGATACAGGAAAATCTTGTTGATATTACATCATTGGTGAATTTCAGCAGATTATAGGAGTTAACCCTAGAAGTTAAAATATGATGTGAAATAAACTAAATACTGTGCTGTGTTGTACTGTACTGTGTTGTACTGTACTGTTTAATTTATTCTATACCTGTTAGGTTGTTTGCGATCAGTTAATCACATATGGTATGACAGTGTCGTTCAGTATTTGGGTTTCTGTGCAGTAACTTTAGTTTCATTTGATTGGCTATTTTTCAGATTACCTGTATTGACAAATATTGTTCATAGGAAAATAAAATTAAAATTCATACTTTTGGCTGTAATAATTTTCATGGTTCCAGAAGTATGCCCTGTAAATAAAAAGAACTTTTATCCATCAGCTTCAGGATTATAATACAGCTGAAAATTGAACAGATGTATACCGGTATATAGAGCCTGTCAGACTAAAGCTTGATTTGTGTGATCACTAGAGCAACTGTGTGACTGAATGTAGTGCATTTGTCAGTTTGTAATGTACCTGTATGTCCATATATATCTGCTGTTTTTTGTCAATAGCATTTACAGTCTTTCTACACAAAGTGTTCACAGGTCAGATTAAACACTTATTACTCAAATTTACACAAAGTGTCTTGCTTTATTATCTTAATTTTCACATAGGTGGAAAGAATTTTGATACTGAGAAATAAAAAGACAATTAAAAAATAAGTACTATAATTAATGTTTCCTTTAAATAATGTGATCTGATTATTAATTCCCTTTGAATTGACACATAAACAGAATGACTGAGCAGTATTACATGGTAGACCAATTTTAATGATGGTGAGCTGTGGTTTATGAAACAAATGATGCCTTTATTTTGGACATGTACTATGAATGTTTGACTGAAAAGGAGATTCAGTTCCATAGGGATTGATTGATTAATTAATTGATTGATTGTGGTAATTACATACCTGGTGATGCAACAGCTTAGGTCATATGATGCCAAATTAAAATAAAGGCTTAAAAGACTAAAATCAAATAAAGCAAGGTAAAAAACATAGTACAGGTGCTCCTCTACTTAAGAATGTTCAACTTACAAACTTTCAGAGATGCAAACATCATCACTGAGGGGGGTTACCTGCCAGAACAGGTGTTTAATGTGGATGAGACTGGATTATTTTGAAGAAATTTCCAGATAGAACAAACATTACCTAAGAGGAGAAGACTGAGCCACGTTTTAAGGCTGTATTAAAGGGTATAGCTGTGCTAAAATCCACAATCTTTTCATTTTTTACAATATGTTTGGTATCTATAAGAGTAAAGTTGGACTTACAAACAAGCCTTAGGAACGTAACTCGTTCATAAGTAGAAGAGCACCTGTAACAAATAACATAGAACTTTTGTAAAAAAAAAATTTAAATGTTAATAGATAAAACTCAAAGCTTGTGTACAAGGCCGGCTTCCTCCACAAAGGAGAGGACGTCCCCTTCCACATTACCCACTCCCCCCCCCCTCAAGCACCAAAGAGAGACAACTGTAAGATTTGTCTTCCTCCGGCACCGGAGAGGTGCTTACTAGCCCAGCACCTGGAGAGGTGCTTACTACGAATATCTCTTAAGACTGGGGCACTGTACCAGGAGGTGTCAACGGGACCAGGCAGTTATCACAATGGGGAGGGGGCACCCTCTCCATTAAAAAATCATGAGTCAGCCGTGTTTTGCCAATACGGAGGAGGGCCAAAGCAGGCTCCCGGCGGCACAATAATCCTTGATATCCCCAGGCACCATCCTTCTTGAGCAAATATTTATGTATTGGGTTAAATTTCATATGGGAAAGATGAGGATATCTAGAAATTCATGTGCACCCTTTGAAAGACTTTCTTTTTAAGGAAATTTAGGCTTTCAACCTCATATATTGTTATCATGCACATTTGTGTAACCCCTCATAAGCAGTCTGTATCTCTTCAGAACCCCCAAAAGGCAAAGATAATGCCCCTGAAATACAGCAAAATAAAGTGGGTCCCATAGGCATGACTGCCCGTTAGGGATAGGATGGATACATCACGCTGTATACTAAGCCTTTGGTGCACAAGGAGGCAGCATAGCTGGGTGAACTGGAAGCCCTGGATTGAACCACCGACCCATGGAACAGGATGCGAGTGCTGTGTCCAGAGCCGTCCTTCGGGTAGGGCAACCGGTGCGACTGCCCCTGGTCCCTCGCTAGTGGGGGCCCCGTGGCCCTCACCTCACCCAACACCAGAATTAGTAACCGCGTTAAGCTGACCTCACATTACCACCCAGATTCAGGAGACCACCTGAAGGATTAGCGACCAGCACAGTTAGGCAATGCATCTACTGACTTGAGGTCAAAGGTAAGATTAAAACACCCCAACTTACCACCCAGACTGAGAACAATGTCATTCTTTACTGTGCTCTCTGTCGAAGAGGAGTGAGGACGTTGACAGTGGTCGCCTGACAGTGTTGCCGAAACTGTGAATCTCCGGTTGTCCGTGATTTGTCTTTTGTGAAATTGTTGATATACATTATTTTACTATCGTACTCAGCCCTCGTTTTTTATTATACCATGGCCAGCAGGGAGAGAGACAGACACAGAAAATACATCTCGGGTGCAGAGAAAAGGCAGAAAAAAAAGGGAGAGAGAAGAAATCGCAATGTCAATGAAAGGTTCCCTAGAAAAATATGTGCTTTCAAAAACGCCAGAAAGTAGTGCAAAAAAGGACCTGAGCAACTGTGATGGTGATAGTGTGGGTCAAATTCAAGCTGAGGAAGAAGAGAGTACTGAAAAAAATGCTAAGGCTTTTAAAATGGACAGTTCTACCTTTGCTAACGGGCATGTTGATGAAGATCTATGTGATCCACCAACTGGCCACATTTACTGGACACTACGACAATTGATATTTTGGGAGAAAAGGGACCTGTTGAGGTATCTGGTGAAAATTATGTGTTTCCAAAAAAATGGTAAAAACCGACACTTTTCAGACGACTTTTACCTGCGAAGATTGCCAAATGGGGAATTATAAGAAAGATGTGACATAATACTTGGCATTGTAATAGTATGAATGGGGGATTAACAATATGCATATTACAGTATGTATGTATGTATGTATGTAACTATAAAATTTAAAATAAATTTAAACCTTCTCTTTTAGCTAATGTAGATCTGTCATCCTTTTCAAGTATGAGTGCACTACATGAATGAGGCCAACACAGGAAAATCTTGAATGAGACTCAATCAAAACAAGGTTACATAACTTGGCCAAAATATATAATATGGAACATAATCATAAAACTGGGAAATAAAAAGTTCATATGGATACTAGAGTACAAAATAAACAAGATCACCAGTGGTGGTCAACAAGCGTCCCAGGTTAGACACCTGAATATTCAAGTGTTATTTCCTATTATTATGTACAGTAGCTAAAAAAAAGTATCTGTGTATACTCTGTGTGAAACAATATGAGACCACGGACGATAGATATTGGGATATGCGTGTTGGCTCCTTATACAGGTTGTACCTCTCTAGTCCGGCAACCTCGGGACCTGACCGGTGCTAGACCATGGATATTTCCAGACCATGTAAATTCACCCTTTTCCTGGATAGATAGTGACTTGTGCTTATGCTTGGAAGCACTAGCACCACTTTCACTGCTTCCTGGTCTCTTTGAAGACATATTGAAGGGTCAAATTTTGTGAGTTTTTAATTCAACGTTTTTTATTTAGACACAAAAAAAACCTACACAATTTAAAATTTCGACGGATTTGAGCGGCCCACCAACATTCAAACGTGCACAATCGTGTAAACAGCGTCATTTCTCTTATGTACAAAAGATTCATTATTGTTTATTACTGAATGTCTTTTTGATTGAATTAATGTTTGTGTGTGCAAAATGAGCAATACAATTCATTAATAATACGTAGAATATTATAACACACGAGGAGCCGAGACGTCATTGTTTTCATTAATGTTTACAAAACCAGTGACTGATTGGTTCTACATATAAAACTGAAGAAAATAAGACCCTGGTTGTAGCTGTAGTAAAATTAATGTAAAAAAATTTACCGCATATGGTTGTTTTAAGTAATGTTATTTAATGTTAATAAATGGAACAATAAAAGTAGCTAACCATTAATGGTAAAGAAAAAAGTGAGATCGCGTATGTAAGTGCGCACGTGTGAAAACATATCGTCATTACTCTACATAAGAATATGAAAGCAACATTTATTTACTGTTCATATATATTTTAATTAATGTTTCTGAATTTAAAACAAAAATTCCACCCACCAGTGGTGGTAAAGTTGAAAACATAAGGACAGCCAATGTTGTTGTGTGTGTTTTTACTCAGATGACGAAGCTGCCAAGTCATCAGGTTCAACTCTAGCAGAAGCTTTAGAACATAAAAACTTTTTCTGTGTTGTTTTGAGTTTTTATTTAACTTTATCTGTGTTATTTTTGTTGGTTTATTAGGACGTTGCTTTATTACAGGTAGTAATTCGCCAAAAAAGTAGGGTAAATAAGGCAAAATTTAGCCAAACATCGAAAGTACCGCGTAGCTGCTATTGGGCAAACTAAAATTGTTCCGGACCACGGGAGTTTCCGGACCACAGAATGCCGGACTAGAGAGGTACAACCTGTACTATATGAGTGTAATCACTTGACCGATTATTTTATTCTTTTCTGCCAACGCACCTCGTGTTGGATACTGAATGGCGGTGGGTGAAGACACGCTTACCAACCCTCCCGAGACTTCACAAGTTGTACGTATAATTTCGGAAGCCATCGGACCCACTCTGTTAGATACTTTCTTTAGCTACTGTACATTTTAATACAATATTTATAGATACCTATGTCAACCTTTAACTTCCTGATACCTTTATATAAGACCAAAATTATTATCTAACCAATGAATTTCTTGGAATCCTGTGTTCTTCATCAAAAGTTTGATCTAATTTAAAGGCTGATGGTCTTATCAAATCACACACCACTCTGTATGGTTATTATTTATCAATGGTCTACTGTACATTTTTTATTTTACTGGCATTTAATTCCCTAGCCAAAGAAACTGTATGGAAATAAATGAATTATTACTAGGAACTTCATGTATAAAATCATTTGAAACATTAACAGTAATTTAAAGCAATCTTTGACCTAAATCCAAGTACAGTCTCTCCTCGACTTATGACGGGGTTCCAGACTGACGACCAGGTCGTAAGTCGAATTGGTCGTAAGTCGAAAATGTGAAAATAATATATAGAAATTCTAAAATGAAATACGGTACAGTAAAAATGATCAATAATGAAAAATGATTAAAGTGTTATTGTGCACTTACCTTTAATGTAGTCAGCTGAATGCACATGGGGGCCTCAATAATTTTTTAATTAAACATAGAGACTACTGTATATTAATTGGATGAAGCAGAGGAGGAGACAGGGCTGGGTGGGTCATCAATTTCACTCTCTTCATACAAGCTAACTTACTTGCTTGTTGAAGGTATTGGATCATCTTTAGGGAGTGAAGAGGCAGCACTGGTGGGGCGTGAGGAGACAGCAGTGGGGGACTTCTTAAAATATATGTCCAATTTAGACTGCACAGTTTGCCTTTTCTTTTCATTGTAAATCTCCCTGTAGCAAGCAAGTGCATCTTGGATCTGTCTGTCAACTTTTGCAAAATGCTGAACATTTTGATCCATTTCTGCTAACATTTGCATCCCCTTATTAATAATAGCAAATGCCTCCGCCTTGTCCTTCAAATTTTTTTATATCGTCGAGTGAGAGAAGCCAAGGTTGCATGAAATGGTTGCTACCATTTTTTCATGTTCATGTTGCATTATTATTTTCATTTTCATCTCAAAAGTAATTGACTGTTTCCTTTTCTTATCAGCACCACAAGAACTCTCACCTTTACGCTTGCCAGCCATTTTAAAGGGAATTACAAACTAAAATTTTGTCAGTACACAGCGCGATCACTAACAACAACGACGTACAAACACCAACTGAGCGGGCTACGATGTGGATGCTGTACACCACGAGGTGGCCCAGCCCACGCTGTCGTACGGGGCGGAAACGTTTCGGTACTAGAAAATACGTAATTTGAAAACTATTTTATACGAGTACGGTGGACGTATGTCTGGGTTGTTGTAAGCCGAGTAGGTCATAAGTCGAGGAGTACCTGTACCTGTATTATGGAAGCCTGTACAAAAAAAAGTCATCTCAAGAAGATTCAAATATGATGCACAGGTACCAATGCCCTCAAGGTGTTTTGTCACATCTTATATTATCCAACTATCATATACAGTATTTGCGGAATGATAATGAAATCTTGCTATCAACTTGTTTTTAAGCATTCTTTACCAGCATCCCACTTGTATCCTTGTAAGGAGGATCCATTGAAAAGGACAGACTTTGGGGAGCTGATATTTGTGTCAGCTTATAAATTTAAACTGGAGTGATATCTTTTCAAAGCATGAAGAGACTGTCATCCCTGTTACATCATGCATAGTATTAAATTTATAGTTATTTAGGCAGCTGTTAAGGGTGTCTCAAACTTTGCTAAAAATACAATAGAAGATAAACCACTTCAATGAAGGTGGTTTTGAGGACTTTCAGGAATTCCTTGAAGACAGTTTGTTCTAATACAATATCAGTTGGGCAGCTAAACCATCATCTTGAGTTCTTTACTGTAATAAAGGAAAGGATTTATGAAATTGTCAAGTAAATCAATATTACAGATATCTGTAACTGTCCGTTATTTTCCCAGCAGGTGAGATTGCTGGAATGACAATGTCCCCAGAGCCTGACCTGGTGGCTAGCACAAAAAGCAGTTCAGGGAGTGACAAGTCAAATAGCCTGCCCCGGACAGCGCAAGAACCTTCAGCTCCCGGCCTACCATCAATAGATATCTCCTCTCAACCACCACAGTTATCTGTTTGTGAAGCCTTCCCTGTCAATCATCTGCCTCAGTCAGAAACTCACAAGGATGACCAGCCTCCTGAACCCCCCCCAACGGTACCCTCAACAGCATCAACACCATCCCCTGCTTCTAATGCCCTTCCTTCTGATATAAATTGTCAGACTAGTGCTGGTAATAGTTCACCAAGTGTGGGTCATATTCAGACTATAGCTCCTCGAACTGTTCCCTTTGCTGTCTATGTCCCACCTGTTGTTGCTCAGGCTCCGCCCCAGGTCCCACCGGGTCCACCTACGACTAGTTCAGCATGTATAGTTCCAGTAGCTCCACCTAGAAGAAGACGAAGGAATAGACTGAATACTGATGATGTAAGTGTATCTTCTTTATACAGTATTACTGTAATACAGTATATGGTTCAGGCATGCATGCATCTCATAGTGACACATACAGTATTGCAATTCTCATGGAATTCCATAATAAAAGATGATAATAAACAGATATATAAGTTCTGTCATGAGTAAAATGAATTGCCAGAAGCCTACCAGGATATCTGTCTAACAGGATTAAATTTTAATTGTCATATTGTACCCTAGGAGAGTGGCGATGTTTTGTATGATGGTGATGGAATTGGTCACTATGGTTTTATAGGTTGTGAAACAGTGTAAGAAGAAGTAAGTGTAGCTATTGTATAGTTGAACACCACTATATTCTAGTGTGTAGATATGTAGTGTGCTTTATATATGGAAAAAGAAGTACATACATTACTATATTTGTTTTTTATTTTAGAAGTACTGTACTTGGTAGTTTACTCCCAATGCTCTTGCCGCTATCACTTCAGAATAAATTTTGAGCCGTTGTCTATATTTGTAGTAAAAAAATTGAGGTGTCAAAATGTCATTAACTTGTACTACAGGCTACTAATCTAAAAAAAAATTCTCACCATGCATTGAATTTATACATAAAATTATGTCGAATGTTAGAATTTTTGTTGTAGTACTTAAAAAAGATTGTGACTTGTGCACAGTCATAAAACTAGAGTCTCTTGGATTACTTTTACTTAGACACAGCTTATTTACACTTTCAGGCAAAGTCTTTGTTTACCCTATTTAATCATCTTTTATATGACAGATTGTATAAAATAAATTTAAAAGAATAAAGACTATTTTAATACAGTACTGTATATGTAAGCTGGCACATGATCAAAAATGATATAGATAGCAGTTTCTTTGTCAATAGTGCCAAACAATTACAAGAGTACATTAGAATAATTAGGTACAGTAGAACGTCGATATAACACGAGATAGGTTCCAAGAGAGGTCGCTTTAAACCGAATTCGCACTAAATTGAAGTGTTGTTTCAATGGAATAATTTAGTTTGGTTCTTGAGGGAAATACACAATACTAAAGAGACTGAGAGTCTACCTAGATGCACTTACAGCCCATCTCCTAGAATAAACAAAACATTGTTTTTTGCAGTATTATGTTAAAACAAACACTCGTAAGTCAACACAGCTAAAATTAAGGGATGTGAAATGGTTTGTTTGACAGTTGATGTCAAGGTCTAGTACTTATTTATTTATCTCTCCTTAAGAGTGACTTTAAGTTTTTCTCTTATAAAATGTCACTGAACTGACATGGGAGAATATAATTAACATTGTTGGAATTCTTTATAAGATAGTGATTAATTTGAATATAAGCATGGTATAGCTCACATTAGACATAAACAATTTTAGTTCTAATTTAAGAATTTTATTACAAAGAGCAAAAATTTTTATCTCGTGCAAAATATATGACGTTTATATTCAAATTATTCGCAGTCTTGCAAGGATTCCAGCAATACAAATTATATTCTCTTAACTTTAGTTTGTGACATTTTATAAGATAAAAACTATAAGCCTAAAACACCAAACCCTGGCTGGAAAGATGGGGGGAGGGGGGGAAGTGACAGTGGCATGTTTGACAGTTGGTGCGAAAGGTAATGATATGCGTTCAATGCATTTACAGGGCTGTACAGTACATAAATTAGGAGTTGTTTATTATTTTAACAACAGATGGGATGGTGCTATTCTTATTTCTATTAGTGTGGGCTCTTATGGGCTGAATTTTGTTGTAGTAGCCGATTGCGTGAGGTGGGCGGGGGACTGCTGGTAGCAGGAGGTGGCGATGACGAGGACGGTGCAGTAGTCCACTGCCAAACCTTGCTAGTGCTTAGTGGTGGAGGTCAATGAGGAATGGTATTTCCAGGGTGGAGAGAGCGTTGTTGTAGCCGGAGTAGTCTGCGCCGAGCATGATTCTGCAGGCCCTTTTCTGTACCTTCTCTAGCTGACGTTGTTGGGTGGAGTTGAGAGAAGACGACCAGGCTGGTGACGCATACGTTAATTTGGGGAGAATAAAGGCATTGTAGATAGTCCTCAGCTCTGACGTGGGTGCCCCAAGTGACCTGAGTCGTCGTAGCATGTAGAGTCGGTACGAGGCTGCCTTGATTGTGTTGTTTACATGGGCCTTCCAGTCTAGTTCGTGGTCTATGATAACACCCAGAAGTTTGGCAGACTGCACTAATGAGAGGATGGACTGCTGGAGCTTGCACTAGAGTGGTGGCGGTATCGATGTGCATGACTATGGTTTTGGTGTGGTTGATGGTGACCGTGTTCTCCGTAGTCCATGCCTGTAGCCTGTCCAAGGTGCCTTATAGCGATGAGTAGTCTGGTGAGGTGTTGTCCACTGTAACCCCCACAGTGCAGTCATTCACGTACTTCCATCTGTGAGGAGTGTCAGACAGAGAGTCGTTGATCAGGATTAGGAAGTACAGTGGTCCCATCTTGGTCCCCTGGGGAACACCACAGGTGAGGTATTGGAATGTGGAGACAGAACCCTGGTACCTGATTGCCTGATGACGCTCACTCAAGAAATCGGTGAGCCACGAGACCAGGTAGTACATTATTTTGAGGACACGTACTGTACAGTATTGTCCTTAGGACAGTGCAGCGTGTCCAGAGAAACACTAGGTGCAAAATTTTAAATATGTTGCGCCAGATTGACTCGCGCAAAATAGGAAAGATTCGCTTTAAATTAAAACATTGTCCTTAATTGTGGGTGGCGCTTTAAATCAATAATCTTAAATTGAATTGCTTTAAATCAACGTTCTACTGTACTGTACTGTAAATTCACTGTTCACCATTACCTCGTCATCACGGTTGTACTAGTCAGCTACAAGTTCACACAAGCGAATGTCAACAGTACTGTACTTATTTTACCTTTCTAAAATTAATAGGCTTTCATCCTAGATACTGCAACTTTATCCAGTCTCAAATATTATGTCTTGCTGTGCTTTATGCATAAACAGGGATGTATACGGTGCTACTGTACTATATTGGGATAGTTGTGAAAAGGCACTAGAAAATTGGATAAAGGATGAAAGGATGTACTTTAAGTGAGGGGGATGGACATCCAGAAGGCAGCTGAGTGTGTGTGTGAGTGAGAATAAGAAGAGAACGTGGTGTTCAATAATTTTTGGGGACGGACATGCTGCTGGTGGGTGTAGCTGGCTTGTGTGATATTACAGATTTGACAACTTATTGTAAAAGGGGAATTCCTTAGCAAGACACATCTTTACAGTAGTAAGAATGAGTGAATGACAACAAATGAAGGTAAAATGTATGTGTGTACTGTACTTTATCTTGTTTCTGGCCACCCAGCAATAAGCAAGAAAGGGCTTGGAAGAGTAAAAAAATGTAAAGATTGAAAAGAAGATTTTAGAAAATATTGGCCCAAATATTTTCAAATAGATGCTATACTGTAGTCTCAAATACTCAAGAAACAGTTCTCTCCTGCACTAAAAACCATTGATTTTCCTAAATAGGAGGCCAAAGAAGAAGGAGCACCTAAGCCCTGTGCATTGCATATTCAAACTGCCTTTAGTGACCTGTTACTTTTTGACTGTAGATAACACCATGTTTCAGCAGGCTTCCAGATATTAGTGAAAAAAATATTTCATTTTATCAATCCATATTTGAAGGCATTATTTTTCATAATTTCATTATTGTTGTTTGTTAACTCATTATGAAAATGGGTGAAATCCTGTGTCTGCTATTCTTATTCATTATATAATGATAACATTCATTGAGTTAAAGTTTCATGTTAACCTTTCCAGGATTTTCTTCTAAGGAGTATCGTGTTTTGTTACAGGACACTGCAAGTTTAGCGAGCGTGTCTTCATTACCTTCCCCTGCCCTCACTCTCTCATCTGTTGATGCCATTAGTATTGGTCAGTCTTTAGATATACGTCAGGCCGTCCGTGGAGACTATCTTGTTAAGCCGCAGGTGAGTTTTGTACTTTTGTCTTATACTGCATGTACTTTCTTTATTGTGACATGAAATTGTTCTTTCTAGGCATTTCTTCTGAGTAAGACCAAAATGAATTATTCATAATGATTTCAGTAACAAGCAGAAAATTAAGTTGATGCAGTATACAGTGATATCTCCATTAGCTGGAACAATTGGTGCAAAGCACTTCCTGGAACGAGAGATTTCTGGGTAATGAGACGACTCTCTCAAAGCTGGAAAAAAATCCCTCATCCCTGGAATTTTCTGGTTAATGGGAAAATTTTCTCTTAAGTTCCAAAAATTGTGCATTGCATTATCTCTCGAACCCGGAAAGAAATTCTCATCTCCAAAATTTTTCCGGGTATCGGAATTTACCAGAATGATGCATTGTTTCATCTATTAAAGCTGGAAAAAATTCCCCTTCCCCGGAATTTTCCGGGTACTGTACCAGAAAAATTATTGCAGAATTTACGGAAAATGTCTCTGATTTACATCTCTCAAACCCAGAATAAAAATCCATCATCACCGGAATTTTCCTGGTACCGGGAAAATTTTCTCTTAATTTCCCAGAAAATGTGCCCCTTGGAAAATCGTTCCAAAAGCCGTAATTTTCTTGAACATTTTTACTTTGGGAACGGTTTTCCGAGAAAATTTCAATGCTGGCTATCAGAGAATTCCGGTTAAAAGAGATTCTGGCTAATGGAGATATTACTTGTACACAAGCTTTGAATTTTTTCTGTTAACATTTAAATGATTTTATGAAAGTTCTATTTTCTATTTTATTTATTATTATATAAATACTTTTTTACCTTGCATTATTTGTTTTTAGCCTTCTAAGCTTTTAGTTTAATTCAGCAACATATGACCTAAGCTGTTGCATCGCCAGGGATGTAATTACCACAATCAATCAATCATCATTCTGAATCGTGTCAAATTATTTTGTTTAAGGATCTTTTATTGAAACATTCTTGTGGAGAATTTATTCAGATTATGGTACCAAATTCATATTACACAATTAAAATAGATGCTGTGAATAAATTTTATTCCGTACTGTATTGTACACTTTTTTCTAGTCGTAAATATTTTCGCTAATGCCCATAGTCTAACTGTAATGGGAGAGTGTTTGTCCTTGCAAGATAAGGTGACAAGATATGTAGTTTATAGTCGAGATGAGATGCATAGTTTAGACTCTCTTAGACTCTCAGAAAACTTTCCCCAGCACCCAGAAACTTTCTGGAGATGTGGGATAAAGTCTTTCCATGTGAGATGCGTTGTTTAGACCAGTGGTTCCCAAACACGGGGTCACATAGAGGTCATGGGGTTGATGGGAACTCATAGAGCTCATAGTCCAGGTGTCAAGGACTGAAGGACGTGGCTGACAGGTGCTGTCTCATTAAATATGGGCCATAAAATGGTCAAGGGGATAATGAAGTTACTTTCCTTTTCTCAAGTTAGGTCAATCCAGGGAAGGTGAATGCTGATGACATGTTACGCAACAGAAAATCTGCACTCCTACCTCTGAACCGTTCTCAGCTCAATTCACTTTGTACTTCCCATGGATGCAGACAAAAAATGGCAGCAAATTTCAATGATAAATTCCCTGAGTGTGCTTACTGAGTCTTTGGATTTTGTTCAGTTTCTGTTCAAGACAGATATAAAACTGTGTGGCTCTTTTGTCCTTGAAATAGCAGAATTACAGGCTGACAATGAGGCAAGGGTGAATATATACACACACACACACAGTAGATCCTTGCCATTCGCGGTAAGCAGATGGTGGCTATGGTGGCTAGCTTGCAAGCCTTTTCCCACAGCACAACGAATCACCCCACGCAGCATCTTGTGTTGCACACTCCAAACTTTAGTGTTTCTGTGTGATGTGGCCCCTAAAAGACTGCCTAGTGTCAGTGCTAGTGATGCTAGTGGAGTGAAATGTAAAAGGCAGAAGTCAGTGATGACCCTGACAAAGAAAGTTTTATTATTAGATAAGTTAAATGAGGGGGGCGAGTGCTGCCACGACTGGTCAGTTGTTTGGTATAGGTATACAGTAGTGCACTAAGTATAAGTTGCTATGAGTGGTTTTGCCAATTCGCGCCATTTCTTGGAACCTATCCCTCGCGAATGGCAAGGGTTTACTGTATCACTAAACCGAAAATTTACTATCGTTAAATGAGAAAGGGTGTTAAAAATTTTAAATCGCTATACCTAAAAATTGCTAGGTGAACGATTATTAATTGAAGAATACCTGTACTGCAATTTAAAGGTTTAACATAAGTACAAGCATCCGCTGAGTTACGGAAATTTGCTCTTATGGAATTTTGAGATTATGACCCAAAAATTGCGATACAAAAAAAATTGGCGATGTTTAATACATTTTTTTAGCAAAATTTAAAAATTTATTTCGTGTGAGTGCATCTGTGGTAGGAAAAAGGCGCCAGTGGCCTCACTACAACTATAACATTTTTGGTCTGTTTGAATATCCAGCATAAGTCCAGCTTTCCCTAAATGTTTTGGAGTTTATTATTGGTTTTATACAATACAATCTTGTTCATGATGAGTGGAAAGAGGCCATCTTGTGCAAGTGCTAGCAGTAGTGCTAAGAGAGCATGAAAAGTTTGAGCAGGGGGAGAAGTTGAGTTACATTGCCAAAACTCTGAGCCTTCTTACCTCCACTGTTGGAACAATTCGTGAAAACAAAGAGAAAATAAAGGCTACAGTAGTGCTCAAGTTGCCACTCCACTGTCAGCCTGTACTCTTTATATTCATCATAGTGATGTAATGATAAAAATGGAATGGTTATTCAGTGTATGGATTGAGGACCAGACCAAGCAAACTGTGCCCTATTAACACAATGGCTATTCAGTAGAAGGCTAAGAGTCTGTATGCAAATTTAAGCTAGGAAAAAGGCGGTAGCTGTGATGAAAAACTGTTCAAGGCCAGCAAAGGGTGGTTTGAGCATTTCAAGAAATGTTCAAACCTACACAACATTAAGATGTCAGTCACACTAGAATAACCCATTATAGTACATACAGTGGGGTATGCTATAACGAACGGATCCTACTACGAATATTCCTATAAAGAACGGTTTTACCTATAAAATTGAGAATGCTATAACGAACGAAACTCCTACAACGAACATTATTTAAAAAAAAAACATTTTTTTTTTTTTTTACTAATTTATTGTTTTTTATTACAAGTATTAATGATGTTCTTTATTTCAGGGGTTTAGATGCATATTTATGCACTTTTTTACAATTTTTACAATTTTATATTATATTTTTCAGTGTTAAGTGGTTGTATTTGGGGGCCTGGAACGAATTAATCCTATAACGAACGAATGCTATAACGAACAAGGTTCTAGAACCAATTAGATTCGTTATAGCATACCCCACTGTACTTCTTTCCTCACACAGCCAAACTATGGAATGCTGTGCCTTCTTCTGTGTTTCCATATTCTTACAATCTGTCTCGCTTCAAAAAGCTGGTTTTACAGCATCTTCATGACGTAGATTAATATACAGTAAGTCCTCGTTTAATGTTGCCCTCGATAACGTTGTTTTGTTATAACATCACTATTCTTTAGATACCCATGATTCGTATAAAATCCCGCCGATTCCGTATAACGTTGTCATAGACTTTTTTGTACGGCGCATCACCCTCTTTTATCTTGGTGCCCTACGCTCTCACCCGCAGAGTGCCACTGCGTCCCCAAGCGTCGCCAGTCTTTGCTAAGCTACCACAGCATTCGTTCGTATTAAAGTGTTTTTGCTCTTAATTCTGTACTCTAACCCAGTGATTCTCAAACTGGGGTCCGCGGACCCCCAGGGGTAGGCAAAAAGTTTTTGAGAAATAGTGCATTTAACGTTTGTGGGAGATTTGGCGATTCCAATTCGCGGGATATTTTGGATTTGGGTTGAAATGAACAAATGCTTTGGACTGTGATTTATCCTTTGATTATTGACAATATTTGTATGTGTCATGGTATATAAGGGATCCTTGGTTGAAAAAAGTTTAAGAACCCCTGCTCTAACTATTCGAAATGGCTTCCAAGTGCCCATCAAGTGCTACTGATGTTAGTGTTGTGAAGAAGAAATGTAAGACCATTAGCCTTGCTACGAAAATGGAGGTTTTAAACAGGGAGGAGGAGCCACCCGCCGGGTCTCAGTGACTCTCCACCCTCCTCCTCCTCCTCTCCTGCCCTCCTCCTCCGCTCCACTACCCACTGTAATATTGGAGGACACATTAGCGTTGCTATTCGAGGATTTACTGTATTTACATGTACAGTACTTCTACTGAATTTAGAACTTCTTGATCTTGTGGAAGTCTTCGTAACACGGAATGCACAAGGCAACTCCATACTCCTTGCATCAAGTTGCCAGATCTTTGTGCCTTGGTTCATGGTAGCTGGCAAGGTGGTGAGGGGAGGGAGGACTAGTCTGGGTTCTGTTTCCCCCCATCATTGTCTTCATCACCCATTACTATATTAATTCTACTCAATTCAAGCAACTCTTGATGAACAGCACTACTGTCATGCAAATGCCTTCGCTTGCACTTGGGTGTGGAGGAGTAAGGTGGGTCATAATAGAGGTCTAAGGATGTGTATCCCTCACAATGTTTGGCTGGTAACTGACCATGAGGCACGAGTCTTGAGAAGTTGAGACAAATACAAGCGAGTTGAGTTGCCAATTACACAAATATCCCACACAAAGTATTTCCTCTCGCCTGGACATTCAAAATATGCCATGAAAATTAACAAAGTTCAGGAAGTCACTTGGGTTTAAGGCCTACTATTTACACAGGATATTTAGACAACTTATGGCTGCAATTGATAGTGAGGATCAGCAATCAGTCTGAGATTTTTGGAGGAAATTTAACATCATGAATGCTATAAACAACATTGCTGACTCCTGGGATGAGTGAAAAATACAACTATGAATGGTGTGTGGGAGAACATCTGTCGAGAATGCATCGATGATTTTCAAGGTTTCCCCCGCTTCAGACCTTGGATGATATACAGCAGGAAATTGTAACTCTGGCAAATGATGCAGGGTTCAAGGAAGTAGACCAATGATGATCTAATATTAATGGAAGAAGAATGAGCTGCTGCTTAAGAGCAGGAGGACCCCTGTACAGAAGTTGCAGCTACATCCCATGAAATGACAACAAAGGTTTTGTACAAAAGCTTAGTCAACTGCAAGATGTGATGAAAATTGCTGAGACACACAGTCTAGACCATGCAGCCTCAAGTTTACAAAATGGAGAATGCCATGAGGGGATACAAGCAGCTGAACACTGAAAAAATGCACCGTCAACAACAGGCAACTTTGGACAAGTTCTTTGTCCTAAAACCTCAATCACCAGCCAAAGAAGATGATGATGATCCACAGAGAGAAGCAGGAGTCAGCAGTGACCCACCGTCTCCTTCCTAGTAACTCCAATTGTATAACCTCACTCAACTCAGCACCCAATATCATTTCTGGTAAGTAAAACTCGAGTGTTTTGTTAATTTATTATCACATTGCATCATGGATGACTCATTGTACAGTCAGTCCTTTACTTATGACGGGGTTAGGGACCTACGACCAGGTCGTAAGTTGAATTGATCCTAAGTCGAAAATGTGATAATAATACATAGAAAATCTAAAATAGGTGTCTCTTTTCTTATCAACACCACAAGAACTCTCACTTTTACGCTTGCCAGCCATTTTAAAGGGAATTATAAACGAAAATTTTGTCAGTACACTGCGCGATCACTAAAATCAGGACTCGGAAATACGTAATTTGAAAAATATTTTATATGACTGCTGCGGTCGTATGTCCGGGTGGTCGTAAGTCAAGTAGGTGTGCTTGTGCCACGTTTTTGGGCCTCAAAAAATATCCATAGAATGCACCTCAAATTTTATAATGGAAGTACAGTGGTCCCTCGGTTAACGAACACAATTCGTTCCAGAAGGTCGTTTGTTAACCGAATCCATTGTTTCAATGGGATTGGGTAATTGGTTCCAGTTCACCGAAAAATACATACAAAGTAAAAAAAAAATGCAGTAAAGTACACTTACTTTGAGGTGTGTATGTAGAAGGCTCCTGGCTGATGATGATGATGGGAATTAGAAGTGAGGGTGGAGGAGAAGGGAGAAGAGAAGGAAGTGGGGATGGAAGAGAAATCACCCCAGGCTTGATGCCGTCATTTCACCAATGAAATTTTAAGTTCACTAGGTGTAATTCAAGATTATTTTCTTTAAATCAACACTGCACTATATATTGTCAATATGTTAAATAAATTTCAGAATGACCAATAATTGTACTGTAAAAAAGTAAAATTACTCTGTGTTCAAGAGACCCCCTAGCAAGATGTTTCCTCCACTGAACAGACACAAACTGCCACCTTGGTGGGTGAGTGAAGTGGCTGACTGGCGCACCAAAAATCTATTTCCCTGTACTGCAATTATGTTAAATAAGTGTTAAAACGACTAATAATTTTTATATAAAACTTGGAAAAATATTGAATAACACAACCTTCTTGATATTGACTCCAATGGAAACGAATATAAGCCCTAGAACAGATTACTGTATTGGTAGACTAATCTTCCAGCTGGTGAGCAAGCCAAAACATGCTGACATGTTTTCGTAAGAATTTCGTTAACCGAATTTTTGTTCGTTAACTGAATTGAAGATGCTTATGGAAGGTAATTCGTTAACCAAGGCGTTTGTTAACCGAGGGACCACTGTAGTAGTATATGGGAAAAATTTTTTGTGTTATGGAAAGATTTTCAGAAATGGAACCCTTCTGTATCCCGGGGGATACCTGTACTGTACCTGCCTACAAATTTTTTTGATCAGTACAGGTATCCCTCATTAAAGAATCATTCATTTAGCGATATTTTGGTATAGCATTATAAAATGTTTAACACCCTTTCTTGTTTAATGATGGTCAATTTTTGGTTTAGCGATATTTGACTTACTGGAAAAATTTAGGAGGGAAGTTGGAAAAACTGGGGATTCTGTGCTCCAAGTGCACATCATTATAATACAGGTACTCTAATGTGGCTTAAAAATAAAGAAAATATTATATGAAACGATAAAATAAGAAAGTGAAGAGCATGGGTGTGTATGTGTGGGAAGTAAACGTATTTATTGAGGCAGTGAGCTGTAACTACAGCCAGCCACACACTCCCTCCCACCCTATATGATGTTGCAGCATACACGCAGCAGCCACACATATCTTTTGAGTCAACTTTGTGACTGTCCGGCTGAACTGTGTAATGTGTATACAATAACAGTAAATATGAGGAATAAACGATAATAATAATAAATAAATAAAATAATAATAAATAAAATAAAAGAAAAGAAAAGAAAAATATGGGATTGCTATTTGGCAATTGTTTCATGGGACTCAAGAGAGAGAACATGTGAGAGCTCTCCCTCATTGTGCCCCCTCCCTTTTATGCTCCCCACTTCTGCATATGTAATAAATGTTTATTCCCTTTATGCTTTTGACCTTATAAAAAAAATAATGTTACACATTTTATGTGAATGACTGTGTACATATAACAGAGTAGAACAAATCTAAGAAAATTGCTTATACCCGTATCTACCCGAAATTGAGTTGAACAAAAACATAGCTTACCTTTCAGCCTCACCTGCTCTTGTGTGCTACTAGATGGTGAGTCAGCGACTCAGCTACACAATTACATACCATATCCACGGATACAATTCCTCATTATCTATTGTTTAGGATATTATTCCTTGTTATCCCTTGTTTAGCGATACTCTGTAATTTCACTTATGGGTTTTCAGGAATGCATCTTGATCGTTAAATAAGGGATACTTGTATATCACTTTATTGTTCATTTTAAGAAATTATCCATCCATTTATTTAGGATTCAGAAAATGCCAAAGCAGTGGGTCCAAGTGCTGAGGAAATTGCTAGGTTAGAAGCTGAAGACACCACAAGCCAAGCTTCAACTCCTGAAGTATCCCGTGCCCCAAGTCGTCTAGCAAACTCCAGCCACCAGCCACCATCAGCAGGGGGAACTCCCAGCACACCCGGCACACCTGGGTCCATTCCATCAGATACTCCAACATCAGGTGAGAGAGACTTATAAAGTCAACCAACATTGATTCCTCTAAAACATAAGCACCAGCTAATTTTATTAGCCGCACACTTGTTGTTTCTTTCCACATTAACTTTCTAGAAGTATCATTATATGTGTATACAGTATATCTATTTAACTAACCTTATTGCCATTCTGTCCATATGCTATGTACAGCCAATGCAAAGAGTATCGATACACCAGGCATCCGAAAGAATACGAAACATCGGTTGAAGACGTAAAATGTATACCTGTGGTTATCGGCATGTACAGTCCCCTTCACTAGTGCGTTTACAGGGTACGTCATAAAAACATTCCACAGATCATTATCTTTGAGATATTTGTTTTAATATTGTTTTAATTTTATTTCATAATATGTAAACAACCACAGGGCTGCCACACTGCACAAACTCTGACAACCCAGTGTAAATGAACAATTGAAGGGGACTACACTATTAGTAGGCCTGCTCCAAATGTATGGCAGTACAGTGAACCCTCGAAGATCTGGATGAAAAAGGGTGGGGGGGAGGGGGGGACCACCATTCCCAAAAAAGCCGAGTGTCTAAATCTACCAGCGAATGTATTAAATGCATAAAAGACAATAAATAATGACATAAAAAAAAACACCCAAAATGCAGTACTGTATTTTACAGCATACTGTATAAGTCACCCCCCATTTTAGCAAGGAGTAATTAGGGCAAAGCTTTTGTATTTTCCTTTTGTAGCCATAGTTTGTCTTAAAATAATATACAGTATAGAGTCCCAGGAAATGTGAACAATAAATAAATATAATACCAATAAATAAGTTAAAAAAATAAATATATACTGTACAGCATACCCTTAAGATTCTCGGGGGTTGGTTCTCAAAAGTACGAGAGAGAGAGAGAGAGAGAGAGAGAGAGAGAGAGAGAGAGAGAGTATGGTAACTCATGTTTCAAACCCCCATTTCCTCCCTTTTACTTTGAAATAATGAAGTTCTACTGTATGTTTATTTAAAGATATATGACTAGCTGGTGCATATGATATAAAGTTCGCACATGTCTCACATTATCACATAACAGCAGCTTGTTATTTAGGGTATACCTTAGCATTATCATGGTACGGTGTTACATTGATATCAATATTAGTGGTATAAACATGTTACAATGGTGTTAACTTATAGGTGTTGCAGATGTGTGTCTTTTTAGTAAGTACTGTATTATAGAAAACAGATCCAGTGCATCATGTATATCATGAAGCATCTGTGT